CCTACTCCACTGGACACTACCACTTGCCCTAACCCAACCCCACCAGACACTACTACTAGGCCTAACCCTACCCCACTAGCACTAACCATATCCCACTAGATACTACCAATAGCCCTAACCCTACCACACCAGAGACTACCACTAGCCTTAACCCTACCCCACCAGACACTAGCACTAGCCCTAACCCTACCACACCAGACACGACCACTAGCCCTAACCCTACCCCACCAATCACAACCACTAGCCCTAACCCTACCACACCAGAAACTACCACTAGCCCTAACCCTACCCCACCAGAATCTACCACTAGCCCTAACCCTACCACACTAGACATTACCACTAGCCCTAACCATACCCAAACCAGAATCTACCACTATCCCTATGCTTTCCCCACCAGACACTACGTCTAGCCCGAATTCGACGCCACCACACGACCTCTAGGCATAACCATACCCCACTGTACATTACGACTAGCCCTAACCCTACCCCACCAGACACTACCACTATCCCTAACCCTACCAGACCAGACACTACAACTAGCCCTAACCCTACCACACCAGACACTACTACTAGGCCTAACCCTACTCCACCAGACACTACCACTCGCCCTAACCATATCCCTCTAGATACTACCACCATCCCAAACACTACCACACCAGAAACTACCACTAGCCATAACCCTACGCCACGAGACATTACCACTACCCATTAACCTTCCCCATCAGAAACTTTCACTCGCCCTAACCATGCCCCACTAGATACTACCACTAGCCCTAATTCTACTCCATGAGAAACTACCACTAGCCCTAACCCTACCACACCAGACACTACCAGTAGCCATAACCCTACCCCACCAGACACTACCACTTGGCCTAACCCTACCCCACTAGACATTACCACTAGCCCTAATCATACCCCACTAGACACTCCCACCAACCTTAACTCACCCGACACCACTACTAGCTCTAACCCTACCCCACCGAACACAAACACTAGCCATAACCCTACTCCACCAGACACTACCACTAGCCCTAACCCTAGCCCACCAGACACTATCACTAGCCGTAATTCAACCCCACCAGAGACTACCACTAGGCATAACTCTACCCCACCAGACACTACCACTAACCCTAACCCTACCCCACCAGAATCTACCACTAGCCCTAACCCTACCCCACTAGCCCTAACCTTACCCCACCAAACACTAACACTAGCCTTACCCCTACCCCACCAGACACTACCACCAGCCCTAACCCTACCAGACCAGACACTACCACTAGCCCTAACCCTACCCCACCAGACACTACTACTAGGCCTAACACTACCCCACAAGACACTACCAGTAGCCTTAACCCTACCCCACCAAACACTAGCACTAGCCCTAACCCTACCACACCAGACACGACCACGAGCCCTAACCCTACCCCCACCAGATATGATCACTAGCCCTAACCATACCTCACTAGATACTCCCAATAACCTTAACACACCAGACACTACCACTAACCCTACCCCACCAAACACAACTAGCCCTAACCGTACAACACCAGATACTACCACTAGCCCTAACCCTACCCCAACAATCACAAAAACTAGCCCTAATTCTAGCCCACCAGACACTACCAATAGCCCTAACCCTACCCCACCAGAATATACCACTAGCCCTAACCCTACCCCACAAGACATTACCAATAGGCCTAACACTACCCCACTAGACACTACCACTAGCCCTAACCCTACCCCACTGGACACTACCACTTGTCCATAACCCTACCCCACCAGACACTAGCACTAACTATAACCCTACCCGACCAGACATTACCACTAGCCCTAACCCTACCCCACCAGACACTACCACTAATTCTAACCCTACCCCACAAGACACTACCATTAGCCCTAACCCTACCCCACCAAACAAAAGCACAAGCCCGAACCCTACTCCACCAGATACTATCATTAGCCCTAACCTTACCGCACCAAACACTACCACTAGCCCTAATACTACCCCACCAGACACTACCACGAGGCTTAAACCTACCCCACTAGACATTACTACTAGCCCTAACCCTACCCCACCAGACACTACCACTAACTCTAACCCTCCCCCACCAAACACTAACACTAGCCCAAGCCCTACCCCACCAGACACTACCACTAGCCCTAATTCTACGCCACCAGACACTACCAATAGGCCTAACCCTCCCCCACCAGACATTACCATTAGCCCTAACCCTACTCCACTGGACACTGCAGCTAGCCCGAACCCTACCCCACCAGACACTACCACTAGCCCTAACCCTACCCCACCAGACACTACCACTAGCCATAACCCTACCCCACCAGATACTATCACTAGGCCTAGCCCTACCCCACCATAATCTACCACTAGCCCTAACCCTACACCACTAGACATTACCACTAGCCCTAACCCTACCCCACTAGACATTACCACTAGCCCTAACCATACCCCATTAGACACTCCCACCAACCTTAACTCAACCGACACCACTGCTAGCTCTAACCCTACCCCAACAAACATAACCACTAGCCATAACCCTACTCCACCAGACACTATCACTAGCCCTAACCCTAGCCCACCAGACTCTATCACTAGCCCTAATTCATCCCCACCAGACACTACCACTAGCGCTAACCCTACCCCACTAGACACTACCACTAGGCATAACTCTACCCCACCAGACACTACCACTAGCCCTAACCCTACCCCACCAGAATCTACCACTAGCCCTAACCTTACCCCACCAAACACTAACACTTGCCTTACCCCTACCCCACCAGACACTACCACTAGCCCTAACCCTACCAGACCAGACACTACCACTAGCCCTAACCCTACCCCACCAGACACTACTACTAGGCCTAACACTACCCCACAAGACACTCCCACTAGCCCTACCCCACAAGACACTACCACTAGCCTTAACCCTACCCCACCAGACACTACCACTAGCCCTAACCCTACCACACCAGACACGACCACGAGTCCTAAACCTACCCCCACCAGATACAATCACTAGCCCTAACCATGCCCCACTAGAAACGCCCACTAACCTTAACCCACTAGACACTACCACTAGCCCTAACCCTAGCCCACCAGACACTACCACTAGCCCTAACCCTAGCCCACCAGACACTACCACTCGCCCTAACCCTGCCCCACTGGACATTACCACTCGCCCTAATTCTACGCCACCAGACACTACCAATAGGCCTAACCCTCCCCCACCAGACATTACCATTAGCCCTAACCCTACTCCACTGGACACTGCAGCTAGCCCGAACCCTACCCCACCAGACACTACCACTAGCCCTAACCCTACCCCACCAGACACTACCACTAGCCATAACCCTACCCCACCAGATACTATCACTAGGCCTAGCCCTACCCCACCATAATCTACCACTAGCCCTAACCCTACACCACTAGACATTACCACTAGCCCTAACCCTACCCCACTAGACATTACCACTAGCCCTAACCATACCCCATTAGACACTCCCACCAACCTTAACTCAACCGACACCACTGCTAGCTCTAACCCTACCCCAACAAACATAACCACTAGCCATAACCCTACTCCACCAGACACTACCACTAGCCCTAACCCTAGCCCACCAGACTCTATCACTAGCCCTAATTCACCCCCACCAGACACTACCACTAGCGCTAACCCTACCCCACTAGACACTACCACTAGGCATAACTCTACCCCACCAGACACTACCACTAGCCCTAACCCTACCCCACCAGAATCTACCACTAGCCCTAACCTTACCCCACCAAACACTAACACTTGCCTTACCCCTACCCCACCAGACACTACCACTAGCCCTAACCCTACCAGACCAGACACTACCACTAGCCCTAACCCTACCCCACCAGACACTACTACTAGGCCTAACACTACCCCACAAGACACTCCCACTAGCCCTACCCCACAAGACACTACCACTAGCCTTAACCCTACCCCACCAGACACTACCACTAGCCCTAACCCTACCACACCAGACACGACCACGAGCCCTAAACCTACCCCCACCAGATACAATCACTAGCCCTAACCATGCCCCACTAGAAACGCCCACTAACCTTAACCCACTAGACACTACCACTAGCCCTAACCCTAGCCCACCAGACACTACCACTAGCCCTAACCCTAGCCCACCAGACACTACCACTCGCCCTAACCCTGCCCCACTGGACATTACCACTCGCCCTAACCCTACCCTACCAAACACTAACACTAGCCTTAACCCTATCCCACCAGCAACTACCACTAGCTCTAACGTACCCCACCAGAATCTACCAATAGCCATAACCTTCCCCCACCAGACACTACCACTAGCCCTAATTCTACCCCACCTCACTACCACTAGGCATAACCCTACCCCACTAGACATTACCACTAGCCCTAACCCTACCACACCAGAAACTACCACTAGCCCTAACCCTACCCCACCAGACACTACCATTAGCCCTAACCCTAGCACACCAGACACTACCACTTGCCCTAACTCTACCCCACCAGTCACTACCTCTAGCCCTAACCCTCCCCCACCAGACACTACCACGAGCCCTAACCCTACCCTCCCAGATACTACCACTAGCCCTAACCCTATCCCATCAGAAACTACCACTTACCCTAACTCTACCCCACCAGTCACTACCTCTAGCCCTAACCCTCCCCCACCAGACACTACTACGAGCCCTAACCCTACCCTCCCAGATACTACCACTAGCCCTAACCCTATCCCATCAGACACTACCACTTGCCCTAACTCTACCCCACCAGTCACTACCTCTAGCCATAACCCTCCCCTACCAGACACTACCACGAGCCCTAACCCTACCCTCCCAAATACCACCACTCACCCTAACCCTATCCCATCAGACACTACCACTAGCCCTAACTCTACCCCACTAGACATTTCCACCAGCCCTTGCACGCAGGTTACTCCAGTCAAAAATTGTGGACGTGTCATCGGTGGGCCTAGTTTTATTATCACGAGACCTGTGCGGTCTCCTTCAGTAAGGTTCCACACAGCAGCGCCGGAGGATTACACGCGCCGGCCCGACTCTCCACCTACCCCCAGAGACTCCCGGCCGCTCGCGTCCAAATGCTCTTCCCGGGGGTTTGAGAATTCCAGCAATAAGGGGGGGGTTCCAAGAGTCGTACACGCGCGATGAGCGTTCACGAGTCGTACACGCACGATGAGTGTTCACGAGGAAGCGGAAGGTTCATGGCGTCCGGCAGCATAGCCGGTGGGCGCGGCTGAGCCGTGGCTCCCAAGGCAGATGTGCCGCAGTGGCAAGGAGATGCCGACTTCCTAGTCTGGTATGCAGGAGGTCATGGATTCGATCCCGATCCTAATGCCTGCTGGAAATTTGGAGTTTGTGTGTCTCTCTCCACGTGGTTGCGTGCATTTTTCTACGGGTCCTCCAGTTTTCCCTCCATATTTTGTATTCAGCTGTTGTAAAATTCCACACAATGATGATAAGCTACTTCGTTTGGCGATGATTTTTGATCGCCAGGTCGCTTCTGAAAAAGAGCTACATAGTTTAGTGGGCCTTACCTGGTAAAATAGAAATAGTTTATAGTTAATAGTTTAATAATAACGCGGAGTCGGCATGGCCGAGAGCCTAGGTTCCACACCGGGGTCTGGGACTCGCATTGACTCACACACACCCATATACTCACAAGGAGACCATCGACTCACACAGAGAGCCATAGACTCACACAGAGAACCAAAGACTTACAAAGAGACCCATAAACTCACAAGGAAACCCATAGACTCACATAGAGACTCAGACTCGCTTATTAACGTACATATTCACAGTGTAAGTGAGTTGATGGTATGGTCACCAATGACGGCACAACACGCAAGAAACTCAAAATTAAATCTGGTCTCTCACTTTAGCTTTTACCGAATTCCAGCTCTGCAAAAGAAACCACACTGTCGAGACTGCCACGGGACGAGCGCCGCTATCCCTGAGCAACGGTGCCCCCCAGGAGTGTGTGGGCAACGCAGGGCACGTGGGAGTGTGTGTGGACAATGCAGGGCACATAGGAGTGTGTGTGGGCAAGGCAGGGTACGTGGGAGTATGTGGGCAAGGTGTGATACGTGGGAGTGTGTGTGGGCAAGGCAGGGCATGTGGGAGTGTGTGGGCAAGGCAGGGAATGTGGAGTGTGTGGGCAAGGCAGGGCACGTGGGAGTGTGTGTGGGCAAGGCAGGAAATGTGGGAGTGTGTGTGGGCAAGGCAGGGTACGTGGGAGTGTGTGGGCAACGCAGGGCACGTGGGAGTGTGTGTGGACAAAGCAGAGCACGTGGTAGTGTGTGGGTAAGGCAGGGCACGTGGGAGTGTGTGTGGGTAAGGCAGGGCACGTGGGAGTGTGTGGGCAAAGCAGGACACGTGGGAGAGTGTGTGGACAATGCAGGGCGCCACGTTGTGGGGAAGATCAATGGAGGTTGTTGCCCTCGGCCACAGAAAAGTGTAATTCCCACCACCGGCTCTGCAAGGCTGTGAACGGTATGCGAGCACTGATGCAGTGAACGGGCGCCGCAAGCTCTGCCCTCTGGCGCGGGGCTCACTCAGTTCCGGTGCAGTTGTTGTTGTGGTCGAGCGTGAGGATCACTCGCTTGTCCGTTCATTGTTCGCAACTTAATTGCCGGCTGTCGCTGCTGCAAGAGTTTTGAGAGTGAACCCGGTGAAGAATCCCCCAAACCCGCCAACGCCGCCAGGAGGAGACGCACGGCGGCTCCTGCTTGCAGTAGGTGGAGTGGCGGTCACGGCAGCAGCGGCTGCAGGAGTAGCAAGTAGTGGTGACGCACGGTACAGGCGACGGTAGTCGTTACCGTAGCATTGCCGAGAGTGGGCTCCAGGCAGTGTGTTTGCTGTTGGTCGCGGTGGTTGTGGTGGTGATTGTTGATTTTTGCGGCAAGTAGGCGGTACAGCTGGTGCAGCTGGTGCATCTACCGGTGATCTCAGGCCTGGCACAGGCGCCGTGGTGACGTCGCCGTCACTTAGTGGCGAATGGCGGCTGCAATGGCGGTGGTTGTGAGAGTCAGAGGCCACAGCAGCAGCTGCAGTCTCTAAAGCTGAGACTCGTGAGTTCTGCCTCTCGAAGCATTCACGGCTCCTGCAGGAGCTGAAGAACAGGGGTGGCGGGGGGGGTGTGGAGACGGGAGGTGGGGGGCGGGGGTGGGTCCACAGCCCACCCACAGCATCCACTCAAGGGGGTCATGGATGGTGGTGGTGGTGGTCACGGAGGTCACGAAGGGCTGCCCAGTCTCCAGCCTCCTGGGCCCACCTGGGTGAGACAGCAATGGGAGTGGAGCGCGGGAGGGGAGGGGAGGTTGTAATTGTGGCCACAGTGAGCAAAGGGCCCACAACAAACAGCCACCATCGACAGTTTGTGATAGATGACAGAGAGATATGAAGACGATTCTACTACAGAGAGATATAAAGACGATTCTACTACAGAGAGATATAAAGACGATTCTACTACAGAGAGATATGAAGACGATTCTACTACAGAGAGATATAAAGACGATTCTACTACAGAGAGATATAAAGACGATTTTACTACAGAGAGATATAAAGACGATTCTACTACAGAGAGATATAAAGACGATTCTACTACAGAGAGATATAAAGACGATTCTACTACAGAGAGATATAAAGACGATTCTACTACAGAGAGATATAAAGACGATTCTACTACAGAGAGATATAAAGACGATTCTACTACAGATAGATATAAAGACGATTCTACTACAGAGAGATATAAAGACGATTCTACTACAGAGAGATATAAAGACGATTCTACTACAGAGAGGGGTGAAGTGGCTCTCACCGGTGCTGGTGAGGGTGAGCGGCTCTCCGTTGGGCCTGGCCGTGGCTGCTGTGGTGGCGGCCGCATCGGCGGCTCCATCACCGGGAGTGACGATGACTTGCCGAGACGGCGCACGCCGCCTCGAGGGTCTGTGAAAGTACAACAACCTTTACCACTACAACTACCACCACCACTACCACAACCTTCACCACCACAACCCTCACCACCACCACAAAAACTACCACAACCTTCACCACCACAACAACAACCACCACCACAACCAGTGCAACCTTCACAATCACAACCACCACCATAACAACCACCACAACCTTCACTACCACAACCACCATTACGTACACACGTTACACACTACACACACACACGTTACACACACACACACGTTACACCCACACAAACACTACACACCTGTTACACACACACTACACACGCACGTTACACACACACACGTTACACACACACACGCACATTACACGCACACACGTTACACAACAACCGCCATTCGCCACTAAGTGGCGGTGACGTAACCACGACGCTTGTGCCAGGCTATGTGCACTTTAAGGAGACATGAAGTGTCGAATGCCCGCTGGCAGGAAGTCACAGGGCAGACCCAGGCACCATGGGTTGACTGAGATCACTGGCCGATGCACCACCTGTGCCCCCTAACTGTGCCAACTTGCTGTTTTAGCCACCCAGAGCTCCATTTGTTGCTCTGAGTGTCGCTCCTCTGCCCTCCGTTGTTGCTGGAGGCGACTGTCTCCAACTGCCCAGTAGCATCCTTGACAAGCCTCCACTAGAAAGGCCAATCTTGACACCACTGGTACCAGTCGTCGGCAAGTCCACTCAGCTCCACATCCTCTTGTACCACATCAGTCCATCTCTTTTCCAGCCCATGTTGTGGCCGTTTAGCCCCCTATATCCAGCAAAACAGAAGTTGCTTGGGCATGCGGTGGCCGGGCATGCCGGCTGCATGACCCAGCCAACGCAGCCTTGCCATGGAGGAGCTCACTGAGGAGAATGTGTGCAGATCTTTCAAGGATTTGTGAGCTCCTCACACAATTCAGCCTGGTTAAACCCAAGATTGATCGTAGCCAGGCCAGCCTAAATGTTTCCAACCAGTGCAGATGTTCAATCAGAGCGGTCCATGCTTTGCAAGCATAGAGCAGAAAGGGCATGACTGTGGCCGAGACGACCCGAAGCTTCGTGCGGAGCGACAGACCAGGTGGCTTCGACACAGCGTTACGCAGCCAGTGAGACCTCTGCTGTCAAACCAGAGCTCGTCATTAGCACACTGCCCAGGTTTGGAAAACTCTCCACTGTCTCCACAACTGCCCCATCAGGCAGGTGCTTAGTTTTGGAGGGGCTGATGGTAAGCTCCCACCTCTTAGTGCACACTCCAGGTTTAGCAGCAGCATCTCCAATTCCTCCTCTGAGTGAGCAGTAATCACCAGATCATAGGCATACATAACAATACATACTTCACTTGGAATGGAACTTTCTACAAACAAACTGAGGGCACCCCAATGGGCTCCCCCCTATCTCCGGTTATAGCTAACATTTTCATGGAGAAATTGAGACTGACGCCATCCAGACTGCCACTCTGCGCCCAACCTTATGCTCAATTTGTATCCATCTTCTCGGTTGAAGTTATGGCTATGTTTATATATCTGGATGGCTTCATGAACAAACCTTTGATAGTAGCCCGAAGGTTTGCAGAGTACCTTGGTCTCGGAAACGCAATATCACGTGAGCCCACAGTGTTATAACAATGGTAAGCTACGGCAGAGGTATTGGTTCTGCCGTGTTCAGATCTGCCTTGTGTTCGTGGACACAGTCCGAGATATGTCGTTTCGTTTCCCCAATGTAACATCCACCACAGGTACAACTTAGTTTATAGACACCAGGATATTGCATGCCTTCATATCCGCATCTCCAGTTTATTCTTCAGCCTCCCAGCCCCACCCACTTCCCCCCCCCCCCGCCCAGCATTTTGCCTTGCTCCTAATCCCTCTAGCAGCGCTCCATTTCCCCTACCCTCACCCCCCCTCTCTTCTTCAGCCTCCCACTCCCAGCCCCGCCCACTTCCCCCCCCCCTCCCAGCATTTTGCCTTGCTCCTAATCCCTCTAGCAGCGCTCCATTTCCCCTACCCTCACCCCCCCTCTCTTCTTCAGCCTCCCACTCCCAGCCCCACCCACTTCCCCCCCCCCCCCAGCATTCTGCCTTGCTCCTAATCCCTTTAGCAGTGCTCCACTTTCCCCTACCCCACACCCCCCTCTCTCTCTCTCCTCCCTGGCTCCTCCCCCCTCTCTTACCTATATAGCCTCTTGTCACGGCAGCCCTTTTTCCCACTTCAGCAATTGTTTCTTGCTGTGGTTGTCCCACCTGATGACGGAAGCTTGTGTTTTGCCCGAAACGTCGTGATTTAATTTATTTTATTTGATACCTACGTGACTTTACCGAAAGAACCAAAGAGTATGGATCCCTGCAGTCACGAAAACTTCAAATCTATATTGAACCGACTCTACGGGGAGGGTTTTCACACATATGTTAGAGCTTTTAACAGACTGCGAGACAAGAAGGCTCAACTAATCGAGTCGCTAACCTTCCTCAAGAGATGTCGCGATAACAAGGTAATACCGATCGCATTTACACTCACATCTGCTGCTGTCACTTCTCCTAATGCTAAACGGATCTTGTTTAAAGCCAGCTTATCACTAATCTAAGAGATAATAAGATTGCTCCGATTTGAACTTGATAATTTAGACAAGACTCTCTTACAATCACACTTAAAATTAACAGATAAAACATCCACTTCTGATTGGGACCATATAGATAACATGACAGTCTCCTCTGCTAATTCAATGTCAACCAAATGTAAAGTTAACTTGATCGCTAAATTCAACCTCCTCTCAAAAAAGAAACCTGATCCACAAGTTAAAAAGTTAGATCTTAACAAGATTGTCATCAATCAGAGTAACATCCCAATTTCCGACAGCCTAAAATCGGTACTAGCTAAAGGGTTGAATTTTGCAGTCACCCCTAAACATATCCCTGTGGATGATATAATCTCCCAGGTCGACGTAGCCCTCAAAGGCTTGGGACACATCCCGACAGACGTGGCTAGATCTGAAATTGCCACCATCCTTAAAAATGCTAAGAAACCCATTTGTAACATCAGCAAAGACGAGCGCTCTGAACTCGCAAAATTGAAAAAGAGAGATGACAATCATCCTCTCGGCTGACAAGGGCAATGCTACTGTCATCATGGATAAAACCACATACAACAACAATATTCAGGACCTTCTTAATGATGGCAGTCACACCAAAATCAACAAAGATCCTACTAACAGCCTGGCTACAAAAAAACAATATCATTACCAATTCGACTTCCCTAATCGAACCAGTCAAACGGCCCTCCCTAAAACCTTCTGCTACTAGACCACCCAGATTCTATGGTCTTCCTAAGATTCATAAATCAGGTACTCCACTTCGGCCCATCGTTTCCACTATCAACTCACCTACCTAAAAACTGGCCCGTTTTCTGTCTGATACCTTACTTCCATTCACTGGCAAGGCTACCTCAGCAGTATATAACTGAACTCACTTGATCTCGCTAATCAAGGGCATTTCACTGTCCCCAGATTATTTTATTGTCAGCTTTGATGTAGTTTCTCTGTTCACCAAGGTTCCTGTGCCTGACACCTTAGCAATAATTTAAGACTTAGTCCAACATGGACTGAATCCTGATGTTCCAACTCTGGTTAGGCACTGCATTACCAACACTTACTTCACCTGAATGGTACTTTCTACAAACAAAATGAAGGTACCCCCATGGGTTCCCCCTTATCACCAGTGATAGCGAATGTTTTCATGAAGAAATTTGAAACAGATGCCATCCAGACATCCACCCTACGTCCTTCCTTGTGGAAGAGATATGTAGATGACACTTTCGTCACTTGGCCACATGGCCTGCCAGAATTTAACCAATTTCTCAACCACATTAATTCCATACACCCATCCATCAAATTCACCATGGAAGTGGAGAAGGATGGTAAGCTACCATTCCTGGATGTTTTGTTTGAGAAGAGACCTGATGGCTCGTTGGGACACTGTCTACAGGAAAGCCACCCACACAGATTCCTATCTGAAACCTGATTCCCACCACCATCTGGCACAGAAGAATTCCCTCATCAAAAAACTACACCATAGGGCCCACTGTATTTCTGACCAACACCACCTCACCAGTGAACTGGAACATGTGCACCAGGCCCTCAAGATGAATGGGTACTCGGACCACATTATTCGCAAAGCTGTTTCTCCAACCATGGAGAAACAACCCCGAAACGCCGATCAAAACCATCACGTTACCGTACATAGCAGGCGTTACCAAAAATACTTCCAAAATCTTAAACAAACACAAGATCCAGGTCCGATTAAGTACAGTACACAAAATCCGTGATCTAATCCCATCTATGAAGGATGTCATTCCTAACATGCAATATCCTGGAGTCTACAAACTAAGTTGCACTTGTGCTGCGTGTTACATTGGGGAAATGAAACGACATATCTCAGACCGTGTTCGCGAGCACAAGGCAGATCTGAAACACGGCAGAACCAATACCTCTACCGTGGCTGACCATTGCTATAACGCTGTGGGCTCTCATATTGTTTTTTTCTGAGACCAAGGTACTCTGCAAACCTTCGGGCTACTATCAAAGGTTTGTTCATGAAGCCATCCAGATATATAAACAGACATAACTTTAACCGAGAAGATGGATACAAATTGAGCAATAATTGGAAGGATGTTATTAACCAGGTAAAACCTTAACTGCTTTATGGTGTTGCCTTCATATCCGCATCTCCAGTTTCTTCTTCAGCCTCCCACTCCCAGCCCCGCCCACTTCCCCCCCCCCATCCCCAAGCATTTTGCCTTGATCCTAATCCCTCTAGCAGTGCTCCACTTTCCCCTACCCCATACCCCCCTCTCTATCTCTCCTCCCTGGCTCCTCCCCCCTCTCTTACCTATATAGCCTCTTGTCACTGCAGCCCTTTTGCCCACTTCAGCAATTGTTTCTTGCTATGGTTATCCCACCTGATGATGGAAGCTTGCGTTGCATCCGAAATGTCATGATTTAATTTATTATATTTTATATCTACATGACTTTACCGAAAGAACCAAAGAGTATGAGTACACCACAATAACCACAACCACCGCAACTACCACCGCAACCACCACCACACACCACTGCAAAAAAACACGAGAACCACCACCACTAGAAACAACCCGCCATTTGCCACTAATTGGCGGTGACATCATGACGGCACTTGTGCCAGACTGTGCGCACTTTGAGGCCACGTGAAGCGTCGAACGCCCACTTGCGGAAGGTCACGGGACAGATGAAGGTGCCATGGGTTGACTGACCACTAGTACCACCACCTCACGAAAGTACCACCACCACCCCACCATTAGCACCACCACCCAAGCGCTGTGCACCTGCGTGTGCGGCGGGGCTGCCGGGCCTCACGAGCTGCCGGCCCGGCGACCCCGGCACCTCCCCGCCTCTCTCCGCCGAGCGGAGTCGCGGCATCGTGGGGTAGCCATGCCACGCGAGCGCTGCCTGCCCCGCCGTCGCCGCAAAGCCGGCGCCCTTGGCGGGCGGCTGCTGAGCGCCGGGCGGATGCTGAGCAGCGGGCGCACCGCCACCAAAACCGCTACCGCCACCACCCCTGCCGTCCATGTGCCCAATCTTGCCGTGCGCCGACTGCGTGCGGTAAAGTTGCGGCGGCGCATTCTCACCTGCGGCGTTCGCCACCGCCGCCTGACTCTGCTGCTGCTGTTGCCTGTGGTTGTTGTGGTGCTTCTGGTGGTGGTTGTGGTGGTGGTGGTGTTTAGTCCTGTGCTCCCTCCCCCGCTGCTGCTGCTCGGCTCGCCCCTTGCCCGTGCTCTCAAGCTGCAGGAGCCGCGTCACCTCTATGGGCGTGAGCGGGGACTCATCCGAGTTGGGCGAGCAGCGCGTCGGCGCCGGCGGGAACACGAGCAGGGGCGGGCGGTATGGGGGCAGGTCCGGAAATGGCGCCGGGATTGCGCTGGCCTCCGCCGGCGCCAGCGCCGGCGTCGGCCCGTCGTCTGGCGCCACGAACCGCATCTCCTCGTAGATTCCATCTCCCTCTTCATCGTCGTTGTCATCGTCGTCGCAGGCGCCATCGACGAGGGCGATGGCGCCGCCCTTGCCGTCCCCGTCCGTCGGCGCGGCGACGCACAGCATTTCGGCGTACACCGGCTCCTCATCCTCCTCACCGTCACCGGCACTGTCGCTGTGCCGGGCCACCTGCTCCGGTTCCACAAAGCGACGGCCGCTGGTGCTACACGGAATCGGAGGGGACGAGCGACTGGATTTTTGATCTCTCAGCGCCGTTACCGACGGGTAACTTGCCACAGCGGCAGCTAGCTGACGGTGATTCTGCTGCTGATGATGATGGGGATGCTTGTGAGACTGCTGCTGCTGCCGGTGCTGCTGGTGGAGGAGCAGCTGGGAGTCGCGCGCAGGCACAGCGGCGGCAGCAGAGGAGGTAGAGCGCGCCCGCTCCATCTCGGCACCGGCGCTTCCGGCGCGCCGGCGCATGTCCTCATGGGAGCTGCTGAGCCGCGTCTCCGGGTGCCGCTTAGGCTTGGGCGGCGGCTGCTTCTTGACGGAGCAGAACTCGTCGCTGTGCGGCCGCGGCTTCCCCGATCCTGCGCCTGCATGCACACGCACACGCACGCACGTGCACGCACGCATGCACGCACATGTACATACACGCACACACAAAGACAAAGGTTCCTTCTGTATAGCCCTTACAGAGCGTTGTGGGGCGAGTGGCCATTAGCGAGCACCAGCACCCACGAAGGCCGGCACGACACACGACACACAACATGACACACGCACGCAGTCGAGATGGGGGTGAGTCTGTCCACCATTGTGAACGACCTTCATGACCGTGAGCAGTGTCTAGGACCTGGAAATTCATGAAATTAAAATCTATAGCTTCTGGCCCACTTGTTGGTATCAGTGCTCACAAACAAAAGACAAAGGTGTCCCCCCAGTGTAGCCTTAGAAAACTATTGGGGCAAGTGCTGTTCGCGAGTAGCACCTATGAAGGCCGGAACGGCACACGAGGGGGAGAGTGGCCAGCACCACGTCCGGCTGCCTTTGTCTCCCCAGTGCTGATGTTTACACACCGCACCAGGTACTCATTTGAGGCCGAGTCAACCTAGGGGAGGCCCAGAACCGATTCAGTTAATCGTCACCGGTGTTGGCCATGAGCAGGAATCGAACTCGGGACGCCGGGTTCGTAGCGCAGCATGCTAACTAATACACTACCGATCCCTGTGTGTACAGATGTGTACACACGTGACTACGTGTGTATGTGTGTGTGTACACGCACGACGACGTGTGTGTGTGTGTGTACACGTGCGACTGCATACGTGTGTGTGAGCGTACAGACACACACGTACGATCAACAATGCTGCTGGTGGGACAGAAAACGTCGCCTGAACCCTAGCCCGAGTCCTGACCCTACTCCTAACCAGAGCTCTATCTAAACTATTAAACAAAAACATTATTTTACCAGGGAAGCTATGTAGCTTTTTTTCAGAAGCGACCTGGCCACAAATGGAAATGTATAGCAGCCAAATAACTCTAAACACGTGACGTTAATCCTAATGTCGAGCGAAAAACCGGAGGACCCGGAAAAAACCACGTGACCATGGAGAGAGAGAGACATTCAAACATCTTGTCACTGCAGCGCCCTATCACTAAAACATAGCCCTAACTCCGGCCCTAACCACAACTCAACTCCTAACTATACCCCTAGTCTTAACACTAGTACAGTAACCCTAGTTCTATTCCTTGACCCCTGACCCCTGACACCTGGCCCCTAACCGTTCTCAGCAGGGCTCCTGGCTGGCTCCTCGGGGGCGGAGCCTCCGCTCACGGCCTCCGTCGATTGGCTGAGCCTGGTGCCGGGATCCCTCTTGGGCTTGGGGGGAGGGGCTTGTCTTCTTGGTGATGGGGACCCGCCGCCCTCCTCCGCCCGTCGCCGTGGTAACGGGGACCCACCTCTCTCCTCCGCCCGTCGCCTTGGCAACGGAGATGCTGGGGTGGGCGTGGCCTCTGGGGAGGGGAGGGTTCACGTGACCACGCACACACGCACGTACAAAGGCAAAGGTCTCTCTATAGCCTACACAGCCTGTTGGGGCAAGTGCTGCTAGCACACACACCGACCTACAGACACACAACAACCACAACCTCCACTCACCACTCACTGATGACCATCACAGTGCGTGGTGCCCACACACACACCGACCTACAGACACAACAACAACCACAACCTCCACTCACTGATGACCACCACAGTGCGTGGTACCCACACACATACACCATGACCCAACCTTTACCATAACCCTCAACTCGGCACTGCCCTTAGTCCTCGCTCGAGGCCTAACAACGACTCCAGCCGTATCTCTACCCGTGCACATAACCCGGACCCCTATTAGTTCCCTAACGCCGACTCTAACCCGAGCCCTATCCTTTCCCCAACCCGATGCCTTAACTGAGACTCAAACACTAACACCTGCCATCCTGGGCCTGCTCTCTGAAGGGGTTAATCCCTCTCACCGCGCTCCTCCCTCTGACACCCTTGCATCATCATCATCATCATCGCCTCCTCCTCCTCGTCCCCGTGCTGCCATGGACACGGTTGCCGTGCAACCACGGTCCCCGCCTCGCCATCGCCGCCATCCAACTCCGCACGTTGCCGTGGCAACGGTTGCCGGGCGACAACAGTCCCCGCGTCGTCGGGGAGGGGCCCCCATGGGGGCACCGGCTCTCTGGCGGGGGAGAGCGGAGACGACGCTCTGACGGACAGACGGCCGGGCAGACGGACAGACGGACAAAATAATGAACGATTTAATGAAGGGGTTTACATACAGATGAATGGACAATCAAGTAAACGCAGAGATGGACACAGACAAATAGTTGGATGTACAGGTGAATGGATGGATGTATTGTTGGGTGGATGAATAACTAGACGGATGGACAGTGATAGAGTAAGCAAGCAATGAAGCAGGCGACAGTGCCAGCGAGCAAGTAATATTATATGTGAGTGAATGAGCAGGTGAGTGATGGAGTGAGTGATGTAGTGGGTGAGTGACTGATGGAGCGACCGAGTGAGGGAACGAATGACGGAGCGAGCGAGTGAGAGAGCAAGTGAGTGACAGGGCGAGCAAGTGACGGAGCGAGTGACAGAGCACGTGTGACGGAGTGAGTGAGTGATGGAATGAGTGATGGAGCGAGCGAGTGAAGGAGCAAGTGAAGGAGTGAGTGAGTGATGGAACGAGTGAGTGACGGAGCGAGTGACGGAGAGAGTGAGTGACAGAGCAAGTGAGTGATAGAGCGAGTGACGAAGTGAATGATGGAGCGAGTGAGTGACGGAGAGAATAACGGAGTGAGAGAGTGATGGACGGAGCGAGTTAGTGACGGAGCAAGTGACGGAGGGAGTGAGTGACAGAGTGAGTAACGGAGTGAGTGAGCGATGGAGCGAGTAAGTGACAGACCGAGCGAGTGACAGAGTCAGTAACGGCGTGAGTGAGCGACGGAGGGAATGACAAAATGAGTGACAGAGTGAGCGAGTGACAGAGCGAGTGATAAAGCGAGTGACAGAGAGAGTTACAGAGTGAGTGACGGAATGAGTGATGTAGTGGGCGAATGACTGATGGAGCGAGCGAGTGAGGGAACAAATGACGGAGCGAGTGAGAGAACAAGTGAGTGACAGGGCGAGCAAGTGACGGAGCGAGTGACAGAGCAAGTGAGTGACGGAGTGAGTGAGTGATGGAATGAGTGATGGAGCGAGTGAGTGAAGGAGCAAGTGACGGAGTGAGTGAGTGATGGAGCGAGTGAGTGACGGAGCGAGTGACGGAGAGAGTGAGTGACAGAGCAAGCGAGTGATAGAGCGAGTGACGAAGTGAATGATGGAGTGAGTGAGTGACGGAGAGAATAACGGAGTGAGAGAGTGATGGACGGAGCGAGCTAGCGACGGAGCAAGCGACGGAGCAAGTGACGGAGGGAGTGAGTGACAGAGTGAGTAACGGAGTGAGTGAGCGACGGAGCGAATGACAAAATGAGTGACAGAGTGAGCGAGTGACAGAGCGAGTGACAGAAAGAGTTACAGAGTGAGTGACAGAGTGAGTGATGGAGCAAATAATGGAGCGAGTGATTGACAGAGCGAGTAACGGAGTGAGTGATAGAGCGAGTGACGAAGTGAATGATGCAGCGAGTGAGTGACGGAGCGAGTGAGTAACAGCGCGAATAACGGAATCAGAGAGTGATGGACCGAGCGAGCAAGAGATTGACCGAGTCAAGGAGCGACAGAGCGAGTGAGTGATAGAGGGAATGACAGAGTGACAAAGCGAGTAAGTGACAGAACGAGTGATGGAGCAAGTAACAGAGCAAGTTACAGATCGAGTGATGGAGCGAGTGATTGAAAGAGCGAATAACAGAATGAGTGAGTGAGTGATGCAGCGAGCGAGTGACGGAGCGAGTGACGGAGCGAGTGACAGAGCAAGCGAGTGATGGAGCGAGTGATGGAGCGAGTGACGGAGACAGTGAGTGACAGAGCGAGCGAGTGACTGAGAGAGTAACGAAGTGAATGATGGAGCGAGTGAGTCACGGAGCGAGTGGGTGACAGAGCCAGTAATGGAGTGAGTGAGTGACGGAGCGAGGGACAAAATGAGTGACAGTGAGCGAGGGACAGAGCAAGCAAGTGATGGAGCGAGTGATGGAGCGAGTGATGGAGCGAGTGACAAAATGAGTGACAGAGCGAGTGATAAAGCTAGTGACAGAGAGAGTTACAGAGCGAGTGACGGAATGCGTGATGTAGTGGGCGAGTGACTGATGGAGCGAGCGAGTGAGAGAGCAAGTGAGTGAAGGAGTGAGTGAGTGATGGAATGAGTGATGGAGCGAGTGAGTGAAGGAGCAAGTGACGGAGTGAGTGAGTGATGGAGCGAGTGAGTGAAGGAGCAAGTGACGGAGAGAGTGAGCGACAGAGCAAGCAAGTGATAGAGCGAGTGACGAAGTGAATGATGGAGCGAGTGACAAAATGAGTGACAGAGTGAGCGAGTGACAGAACGAGTGATAAAGCGAGTGACAGAAAGAGCTACAGAGTGAGTGACAGAGTGAGTGATGGAGCAAATAACGGAGCGAGTGATTGACAGAGCGAGTAACGGAATTAGTGAAGGAGCGAGTGACGAAGTGAATGATGGAGCGAGTGAGTGACAGAGCGAGTGACAGAGTGAGTGACAAAGCGAGTAAGTGACAGAACGAGTGATGAAGCAAGTAACAGAGCAAGTTACAGATCGAGTGATGGAGCGAGTGAGTGAAATAGCGAGTAACAGAATGAGTGAGTGAGTGATGCAGCGAGCAAGTGACGGAGCGAGTGATGGAGCGAGTGATAAAGCTAGTGACAAAGAGAGTTACAGAGCGAGTGACGGAGTGAGTGATGTAGTGGGCGAGTGACTGATGGCGCGAGCGAGTGAGGGAATGAATGACGGAGCGAGCGAGTGAGAGAGCAAGTGAGTGACAGGGCGAGCAAGTGATGGAGCGAGTGACAGAGCAAGTGAGTGACGGAGTGAGTGAGTGATGGAATGAGTGATGGAGCGAGTGAGTGAAGGAGCAAGTGACGGAGTGAGTGAGCGACGGAGCGAGTGAGTGACAGAGCGAGTGACGGAGTGAGTGACAAAGCGAGTGATGGAGCAAGTAACAGAGCAAGTTACAGATCGAGTGATGGAGCGAGTGAGTGACAGAGCGAGTTACAGAATGAATTAGTGAGTGATGCAGCGAGCGAGTGACGGAGCGAGTGACAGAGCAAGCGAGTGATGGAGCGAGTGATGGAGCAAGTGACGGAGACAGTGAGTGACAGAGCGAGCGAGTGAAGGAGCGAGTGCCGAAGTGAATGATGGAGCGAGTGAGTCACGGACCGAGTGAGTGACAAAGCCAGTAACGGAGTGAGTGAGTGAGTGATAGAGCGAGCGAGTGACAGAATGAGTGGAAGAGTGAGTTAGTGACAGAGCGAGTGAAGGAGTGAGTGAGTGATGGAGCTAGCGAGTGACGGAGCGAGTGACAAAATGAGTGACAGAGTGAGCGAGTGACAGAGCAAGCGAGTGATGGAGCGAGTGATGGAGCGAGTGATGGAGTGAGTAAGTGACAGCGAGCGAGTGACGGAGCGAGTAACGAAGTGAATGATGGAGCGAGTGAGTCATGGAGCGAGTGAGTGACGGAACCAGTAATGGAGTGAGTGAGTGAGTGACGGAGCGAGTGACAAAATGAGTAAGAGTGAGCGAGTGACAGAGCAAGCGAGTGATGGAGTGAGTGATGGAGCGAGTGACGGAGACAGTGAGTGACAGAGCGAGCGAGTGACGGAGTAAGTGACGAAGTGAATGATGGAGCGAGTGAGTCATGGAGCGAGTGAGTGACAGAATGAGTGGAAGAGTGAGTTAGTGACAAAGCGAGTGAAGGAGTGAGGGAGTGATGGAGCTAGCGAGTGACAGAGCGGGTGACAAAATGAGTGACAGAGTGAGCGAGTGACAGAGCAAGCGAGTGATGGAGCGAGTGATGGAGCGAGTGATGGAGCAAGTGACAAAATGAGTGAGTGACAGAGTGAGTGATGAAGCTAGTGACAGAGAGAGTTACAGTGCAAGTGACGGAGTGAGTGATGTAGTGGGCGAGTGAGTGACAGGGTGAGCAAGTGACGGAGCGAGTGACGGAGCGAGTGACAGAGCAAGTGGGTGACGGAGTGAGTGAGTGATCGAATGAGTGATGGAGCGAGTGAGTGAGGGAGCAAGTGACGGAGTGAGTGAGTGATCGAGCGAGCGAATGAGTGACGGAGCGAGTGACGGAGAGAGTGAATGGCAGAGCAAGCGAGTGATAGAGCGAGTGACGAAGTGAATGATGGAGCGAGTGAGTGACGGAACGAATGCGTGACAGAGCCAGTAACGGAGTGAGTGAGTGAGTGATAGAGCGAGCGAGTGACAAAATGGGTGACAGAGTGGGTGAGTGACAAAGCCAGCGAGTGATGGAGCGAGTGATGGAGCGAGTGATGGAGCGAGTGACAAAATGAGTGACAGAGTGAGTGAGTTACAGAGCGAGTGATGGAGTGAGTGATGTAGTGGGCGAGTGACTGATGCAGCGAGCGAGTGAGGGAACGAATGACGGAGCGAGCGAGTGAGAGAGCAAGTGAGTGACAGGGTGAGCAAGTGACGGAGTGATTGACGAAGTGAATGATGGAGCGAGTGAGTCACGGAGCGAGTGAGTGACAGAGCCAGTAACGGAGTGAGTGAGTGAGTGATAGAGCGAGCGAGTGACAGAATGAGTGGAAGAGTGAGTTAGTGACAGAGCGAGTGAAGGAGTGAGTGAGTGATGGAGCTAGCGAGTGACGGAGCGAGTGACAAAGTGAGTGACAGAGTGGACGAGTGACAGAGCAAGCGAGTGATGGAGCGAGTGATGGAGCGAGTGATGGAGCGAGTGACAAAATTAGTGACAGAGTGAGTGAGTGACAGAGCGAGTGATAAAGCTAGTGACAGAGAGAGTCACAGAGCGAGTGACGGAGTGAGTGATGTAGTGGGCGAGTGACTGATGCAGCGAGCGAGTGAGGGAACGAATGACGGAGCGAGCGAGTGAGTGACAGGGCGAGCGAGTGACGGAACGATTGACGAAGTGAATGATGGAGCGAGTGAGTCACGGAGCGAGTGAGTGACAAGAGCCAGTAATGGAGTGAGTGAGTGAGTGATAGAGCGAGCGAGCGAGCGAGTGACAGAATGAGTGGAAGAGTGAGATAGTGACAGAGCGAGTGAAGGAGTGAGTGAGTGATGGAGCTAGCAAGTGACAGAGCGAGTGACAAAATGAGTGACAGATTGAGCGAGTGACAGAGCAAGCGAATGATGGAGTGAGTGATGGACTGATTAAGTGACAGCGAGCGAGTGACGGAGCGAGTAACGAAGTGAATGATGGAGCGAGTGAGTCACGGAGCGAGTGAGTGGCAGAGCCAGTAATGGAGTGAGTGAGTGAGTGACGGAGCGAGGGACAAAATGAGTGACAGAGTGAGCGAGGGACAGAGCAAGCAAGTGATGGAGCGAGTGATGGACCGAGTGATGGAGCGAGTGACAAAATGACTGACAGAGCGAGTGATAAAGCTAGTGACAGAGAGAGTTACAGAGCGAGTGACGGAATGAGTGATGTAGTGGGCGAGTGACTGATGGAGCGAGCGAGTGAGAGAGCAAGTGAGTGAAGGAGTGAGTGAGTGATGGAATGAGTGATGGAGCGAGTGAGTGAAGGAGCGAGTGACGGAGAGTGTGAGCGACAGAGCAAGCGAGTGATAGAGCGAGTGACGAAGTGAATGATGGAGCAAGTGAGTCACGGAGCGAGTGACAAAATGAGTGACAGAGTGAGCGAGTGACAGAACGAGTGATAAAGCGAGTGACAGAAAGAGTTACAGAGTGAGTGACAGAGTGAGTGATGGAGCAAATAACGGAGCGAGTGATTGACAGAGCGAGTAACGGAATGAGTGAAGGAGCGAGTGACGAAGTGAATGATGGAGCGAGTGAGTTACAGAGCGAGTGACAGAGTGAGTGACAAAGCGAGTAAGTGACAGAACGAGTGATGAAGCAAGTAACAGAGCAAGTTACAGATCGAGTGATGGAGCGAGTGAGTGAAAGAGTGAGTAACAGAATGAGTGAGTGAGTGATGCAGCGAGCAAGTGACGGAGCGAGTGATGGAGCGAGTGATAAAGCTAGTGACAGAGAGGGTTACAGAGCGAGTGACGGAGGGAGTGATGTAGTGGGCGAGTGACTGATGGCGCGAGCGAGTGAGGGAATGAATGACGGAGCGACCGAGTGAGAGAGCAAGTGAGTGACAGGGCGAGCAAGTGATGGAGCGAGTGACAGAGCAAGTAGGTGACGGAGTGAGTGAGTGATGGAATGAGTGAGGAGCGAGTGAGTGAAGGAGCAAGTGACGGAGTGAGTGAGCGACGGAGCGAGTGAGTGACAGAGCGAGTGACGGAGTGAGTGACAGAACGAGTGATGGAGCAAGTAACAGAGCAAGTTACAGATCGAGTGATGGAGTGAGTGAGTGACAGAGCGAGTTACAGAATGAATGAGTGAGTGATGCAGCGAGCGAGTGACGGAGCGAGTGACAGAGCAAGCGAGTGATGGAGCGAGTGATGGAGCAAGTGACGGAGACAGTGAGTGACAGAGCGAGCGAGTGAAGGAGCGAGTGCCGAAGTGAATGATGGAGCGAGTGAGTCACGGACCAAGTGAGTGACAAAGCCAGTAACGGAGTGAGTGATAGAGCGAGCGAGTGACAGAATGAGTGGAAGAGTGAGTTAGTGACAGAGCGAGTGAAGGAGTGAGTGAGTGATGGAGCTAGCGAGTGACGGAGCGAGTGACAAAATGAGTGACAGAGTGAGCGAGTGACAGAGCAAGCGAGTGATGGAGCGAGTGATGGAGTGAGTACGTGACAGCGAGCGAGTGACGGAGCGAGTAACGAAGTGAATGATGGAGCGAGTGAGTCATGGAGCGAGTGAGTGACAGAACCAGTAATGGAGTGAGTGAGTGACGGAGCAAGTGACAAAATGAGTGAGAGTGAGCGAGTGACAGAGCAAGCGAGTGATGGAGCGAGTGATGAGCGAGTGACGGAGACAGTGAGTGACAGAGCGAGCGAGTGACGGAGCAAGTGACGAAGTGAATGATGGAGCGAGTGAGTCATGGAGCGTGTGAGTGACAGAATGAGTGGAAGAGTGAGTTAGTGACAGAGCGAGTAAAGGAGTGAGTGAGTGATGGAGCTAGCGAGTGACGGAGCGGGTGACAAAATGAGTGACAGAGTGAGCGAGTGACAGAGCAAGCGAGTGATGGAGCGAGTGATGGAGCGAGTGATGGAGCAAGTGACAAAATGAGTGAGTGAGTGACAGAGTGAGTGATGAAGCTAGTGACAGAGAGAGTTACAGAGCGAGTGACGGAGTGAGTGATGTAGTGGGCGAGTGACTGATGCAGCGAGCGAGTGAGGGAACGAATGACGGAGCGAGCGAGTGAGAGAGCAAGTGAGTGACAGGGCGAGCGAGTGACGGAACGATTGACGAAGTGAATGATGGAGCGAGTGAGTCACGGAGCGAGTGAGTGACAAGAGCCAGTAATGGAGTGAGTGAGTGAGTGATAGAGCGAGCGAGCGAGCGAGTGACAGAATGAGTGGAAGAGTGAGATAGTGACAGAGCGAGTGAAGGAGTGAGTGAGTGATGGAGCTAGCAAGTGACAGAGCGAGTGACAAAATGAGTGACAGATTGAGCGAGTGACAGAGCAAGCGAATGATGGAGTGAGTGATGGACTGATTAAGTGACAGCGAGCGAGTGACGGAGCGAGTAACGAAGTGAATGATGGAGCGAGTGAGTCACGGAGCGAGTGAGTGGCAGAGCCAGTAATGGAGTGAGTGAGTGAGTGACGGAGCAAGGGACAAAATGAGTGACAGAGTGAGCGAGGGACAGAGCAAGCAAGTGATGGAGCAAGTGATGGACCGAGTGATGGAGCGAGTGACAAAATGACTGACAGAGCGAGTGATAAAGCTAGTGACAGAGAGAGTTACAGAGCGAGTGACGGAATGAGTGATGTAGTGGGCGAGTGACTGATGGAGCGAGCGAGTGAGGGAACGAATAAAGGAGCGAGCGAGTGAGAGAGCAAGTGAGTGACAGGGCGAGCAAGTGACGGAGCGAGTGACGGAGCGAGTGACAGAGCAAGTGAGTGACGGAGTGAGTGAGTGATGGAATGAGTGATGGAGCGAGTGAGTGAAGGAGCGAGTGACGAAGTGAATGATGGAGCGAGTGAGTGACGGAGCGAATAACGGAGTGAGAGAATGGACGGAGCGAGCTAGCGACAGAGCAAGTGACGGAGGGAGTGAGTGACAGAGTGAGTGACGGAGTTAGTGAGTGATGGAGCGAGTAAGTGACAGAGCGAGCGAGTGACAGAGCCAGTAACGGAGTGAGTGACAGAGCGAGTGACCAAATGAGTGACAGAGTGAGCGAGTGACAGAGCGAGTGATAAAGCGAGTGACAGAAAGAGTTACAGAGCGAGTGACAGAGTGAGTGATGGAGCGAGTGAGTGACAGAGCGAGCGAATAATGGAGCGAGTGATTGACAGATCGAGTAACAGAGTGAGTGACGGAGCGAGTGAGTGACAGAGCAAATAACGGAGTCAGAGAATGATGGACGCAGCGAGCGAGAGATTGACCTAGTGACGGAGCGACGGAGCGAGTGAGTGACAGAGCGAGTGACAGAGTCAGTGACAAAGCGAGTAAGTGACAGAACGAGTGATGGAGCAAATAACAGAGCAAGATACAGATCGAGTGATGGAGCGAGTGAGTGACAGAGCGAGTAACAGAATGAGTGAGCAAGCGAGTGATGGAGTGAGTGATGGAGCGAGTGACGGAGACAGTGAGTGACAGCGAGCGAGTGACGGAGCAAGTGATGAAGTGATTGATGGAGCGAGTGAGTCACGGAGCGAGTGAGTGACAGAATGAGTGGAAGAGTGAGTTAGTGACAGAGCGAGTGAAGGAGTCAGTGAGTGATGGAGCTAGCGAGTGACGGAGCAAGTGACAAAATGAGTGGCAGAGTGAGTGAGTGACAGAGCGAGTGATAAAGCTAGTGATAGAGAGAGTTACAGAGCGAGTGACGGAGTGAGTGATGGAGCGAGCGAGTGATGGAGCGAGTGACAGAGAGAGTGAGTGACAGAGCGAGTGACGGAGCGGGTGACGAAGTGAATGATGGAGCCAGTGAGTGACGGAGCCAGTGAGTGATAGAGCGAATAACGGAGTGAGAGTGTGATGGAGAGAGCGAGTTATGGAGCGAGCGAGCGAGTGACGGAGTGAGTGACAAAGCGAGCGAGTGAGTAACAGAACGAGTGACGGAGTGAGCGAGTGAAGGAGCGAGCGATGGAGTGATTGACAGAGCGAATGAGTGACAGAGTGAGTGACAGAGTGAGTGATGGAGACAGTGAGTGACAGAGCGAGCGAGTGACGAATCGAGTGACGGAGTGAGCGAGTGAAGGAGCGAGTGATGGAGTGAGTGACAGAGTGAGTGACAGAGCAAGTGACAGAGGGAGTGAAAGAGTGAGTGAGTGACAGCGAGTGAAGGAGTGAGTGATGGAGTGAGCGACTGATGGAGCTAGTGATGGAGTGAGTCAGTGATGGAGCGAGTGACGGAGAGAGTGACTGAGCGAGTGAGTGACTGAGAGATTGACTGAGCGATTGACTGAGTGAGTAAAGTGAGTGACTGAGCCAGTGAGTGACGGAGCGAGTAACTGAGCGAGTGACTGAGCGAGTGATGGAGCGAGTGACTAACAGAGCGGGAAAGTGACGGAGCGAGTGAGTGACAGAGCGAGCGAGTTACAAAGTAAATGACTGAGCGAGTCAGTGACAGACCGAGTAACGGAGTGAGTGCGTGAGTGAGCGAGTGACGGAGCGAGTGACTAAGTGAATGATGGAGCGAGTGAGTGACAGAGCGAATAATGGAGTGAGAGTGTGATGGACGGAGCGAGCGAGAGGTTGACCGAGTGACGGAGCAAGTGAGTGACAGAGCGAGTTACAGAGCGAGTGATGGAGCGAGTGAGTGACGGAGTGAGTGAGTGATGGAGCGAGTGATGGAGCGAGTCACTGAGCAAGTGATTGAGCAAGTGACTGAGTGATGGAGCAAGTGACTGAGCGAGTAACTGAGCGATGGAACAAGCGAGCGAGGGAGCGAGTAAGGAAGTGACGGAGCAAGCGAACGAGGGAGCGAGCGGCGCATCTCACCGCTGCCGAGTCTCTTCCTCGCGGCGCCACCGCTGAAGCTTGTCCCGCAGGTAGGCGCGGTGTGTCTCGGAGCGCAGGCGGTCGCTCTCACGTGCGATGTCCGAGGCGTTCTGGATGACGAGCGAGTCGTAGACACGCAGGCATGCGTCCTCCACGCCCGTCACAAACTCGCGTGTCACCACCGCCTCCTGCCGGTGCACGCTCATTGTGCGGCAGCGGCGCCGCCAGCGCACAAACCGGCGCACCGCTGCCGGGACAAGGGGTGGGGGGGGGGGGTGAGCGAGTATGGGTGAGCATTCGTGAGAGTGAGTGAGCATTCGTGAGAGTGAGTGAGCGTGCATGAGACTGAGTGAGTGAGCGCGAGTGAGTGAGCGAACGTGCGTGAGTGAGCGAGTGAGCGTGAGTGAGTGTGCCTGAGTGAGTGAATGAGCGAGCGAGTGTGTGTGCGAGCGAGCGATCGTGCGTGCATGAGTGAGTGATCGTGTGTGAGTGTGCATGAGTGAGTGACCGTGTGTGAGTGAGTGTGCATGAGTGAGTGACCGTGTGTGAGTGAGTGTGCATGAGTGAGTGACCGTGTGTGAGTGAGTGTGCATGAGTGAGTGACCGTGTGTGAGTGAGTGTGTGCATGAGTGAGTGACCAGTGTGTGAGTGAGTGTGCATGAGTGAGTGACCGTGTGTGAGTGACGTGTGTGAGTGAGTGTGCATGCGTGAGTGACCGTGTGTGAGTGAGTGTGCATGAGTGAGTGACCGTGTGTGAGTGAGTGTGCATGAGTGAGTGACCGTGTGTGAGTGAGTGTGCATGAGTGAGTGACCGTGTGTGAGTGAGTGTGCATGAGTGAGTGACCGTGTGTGAGTGAGTGTGCCTGAGTGAGTGACCGTGTGTGAGTGAGTGTGCATGAGTGAGTGACCGTGTGTGAGTGAGTGTGCCTGAGTGAGTGACCGTGTGTGAGTGAGTGTGTGTGCGTGAGTGACCGTGTGTGAGTGAGTGTGCATGAGTGAGTGACCGTGTGTGAGTGAGTGTGCATGAGTGAGTGACCGTGTGTGAGTGAGTGTGCATGAGTGAGTGAGTGAGCGAGCGAGTGTGCATGAGTGAGTGACCGTGTGTGAGTGAGTGTGCATGAGTGAGTGACCGTGTGTGAGTGAGTGTGCATGAGTGAGTGACCGTGTGTGAGTGAGTGTGCATGAGTGAGTGACCGTGTGTGAGTGAGTGTGCATGAGTGAGTGACCGTGTGTGAGTGAGTGTGCATGAGTGAGTGACCGTGTGTGAGTGAGTGTGCATGAGTGAGTGAGCGAGCGAGCGAGTGGTGTACCCTGCTGGCAGATGACAATCTTGCGTCTCAGCTGCAGGCAGAGTGCAGCGAGGTGGTCGCCCTGCCAGTACTTGAGCAGCACGCGCGAAACTCCCACCTGGAAGCAGCAACATCATCATCAGCAACATCATCAGCAGCAACATCAGCATCAGCTGCAACATTAACAGCAGCAGCAACAGCAGCAGCAAGATCAACATATCAACAATTTACAGTGTAAAAAATGTCACATTTCTTCCGTATACCCCAATGCGCCACCTGGTATGGATAGACAGGAAGTAAACCGAAACCGCAGGGTGCACGGCCAGAACTAGTGGGGTCTAAAGGCCACTTGAAAGGGTTGACTTTTCAACACAGCAACATCATCAGCAGCAACACCATCATCAGCAGCAGCACCACCACCACCACCAGCAGCAGCAACAATAGTAGTGGTGGTGCTTCGTGATTATCATCATCAGCAACAATGGTAGTGGTGGCGCATCGTTATCATCATCAGCAGCAGCAGCAACAACAGTGGTAGTGGTGGTGCATCGTGATCATCATCATCAGCAGCAGCAGCAGCAACAACAGTGGTAGTGGTGGTGCATCGTGATCATCATCAGCAGCAAGTGGTAGTGGTGGTGTGTCTGGGTGTGTCTGAGTGTGTGTCTGAGTGTGTGTCTGGTGTGTGTGTGGGTGTGTTTGGGTGTGTGCCTGGGTGTGCGTCTGGGTGTGTGTCTAGGTGTGCGTCTGGGTGTGTGCCTGGGTGTGCGTCTGGGTGTGTGTCTAGGTGTGCGTCTGGGTGTGTGTCTGGGTGTGCGTCTGGGTGTGTGTCTAGGTGTGTGTCTAGGATGTGCGTCAGGGTGTGCATGGGTGCCCCCACACCTGCCAGCCCTGGAGCTTTGCCGCCTGTAGCACTGCCCGGCACGCGTCAGCGTCTCGCTGCCCGGGTCTCCGCGCACTCCACACCAGTGCCGTCAGCTCGGCATACCTGCTCGCACACGCACACAGACAAAGGTCCCTCACCGTGAAGCCTTCACCCACCATCGGAGTAAGTGCCGTTAGCGAGCAGCAACTGTGAAGGCCAGCACGGTGCACGAGGAGGTGGGTGGTCAGCACCACGCCCGGCCACCTTTGTCTCCCCAGTGTCGATGATTTATTCACATTCACAGCAGCGCACTAGGTACTCATTTAAAACTGCGTGCTTTGCTCGTAACTAATTGGCACGTTTTTTTTACGTGACAAACCTTACTAATTGGCCGTGTCGGGTGGTGGCGGGTTTAACGACACATTTATATTCACGCGATCTAACCCAAAAGAACTCCAGGTAAGGCACACTGAGATATATACCTCTTTTTCAGAAGCGACCTGGATATCAAGTGGCTTATCACGTAGAAATTTTGAGCAGCAGCCAAATGCTGTAAATGCATGATTCTAAATGTGGAAGGAAAAACCGGAGGACCCAAAGAAAAATCCACACGACCACTGGGAAAACACGCACACTCCAAATATACAGCAGGCATCGTCAGGGTCGGGATCGAACCCACGACCTCCTGTATACCAGGCGAGGTTGTTAACATCTCCCAGCCACAGCGGAGCCCTTTAAGGTTGAGTCGTCCAGAATAAGAACCTAACTGGAGACCCACGCATCACACCTCCTGGGTTTGACGTTCCACCTCTAAGACACCGGTGGTGGTGGTGGCTGCGCACCCATCAACCGCATCAGAACATCGGCAGGCCGATGCGCACGTCTCATCTCTTTATAAATGGTTGTCGTTGTTGTGTGTGGTTTGTTGTCCTTCCCTCGCGCCTCCGGTGAGTGTAGTTGACTACGTACGTTGCGAAAGGAGTTCAACGTACATACACACATACTCCTTCATACGTGGAAAATAAAAGACATAAGCCACAGTCGTGCAATTGTGGCCATGCAACACAAATGATTAGCCAAGTAGCAAACCCATAGAGATACACAGAGACACATACAATCCCATAGCGACCCATAGAGATACACATAGACACATACAATCCCATAGCGACCCATAGAAATACACATAGACACATACAATCCCATAGCGACTCATAGCGATACACAGAGACCTATAAAAATAAATAGAGACACATACAATCCCATAGCGACCCATAGAGATACACAAAGACCCATAGAGGTACAGAGGCACACAGAGATACATACAATCACATCGTGACTCATATTCAGAGATCCATAGAAATACAGAGACACATAGAGACAAATATAATACCATCGTGACTCACTGAGATACAGAGATACATAGAAATACAGAAAGACACACAGAAATGTATTAAAGACAAACCACTGTGGTGCGTTTGTGGCCAAGCAATCCAATCATCTCTGGACTGCAGAATAAACCCACTGTGGTCTCTGCTCCTTCATTCTATGTATGCATGTTGAAAACATATTTTGCACTGTACTTAGCCAATAGCTACAGAAGCAGCAGCTACAGAAGCAGCAGCTGCACAGCAGCAGCACAAACTGCAGCAGTCGACCTCGGCATGGAGCCCCTGAAGCTGACTGTGATGGTGGTATGCAGGAAGTGAGTGGATGGAGTCAGCCTGGCGGAGGGCCGGGACCGGCTCAGGGCATTGGCCACCGACGTTGCCCGTGGACCGGGGGGGGGGGTTATGGGAATCTCGGCTCGCCGGGGTCACGAAGCGCGGCGTCGCCGACTGCTGTGCAGCTGCCGAGCAACGGCAGGCCTCAAAATTGGAGGTCCCGTGACGCCGAGTGGCCAGCGACAAACGGCGCCTTACAAATAAATGTAAATTTTTATTGGTAGATGTATAGTGGCGTTGATGGTGTCATTATGCTGTTCGTGTGGTGACTGAGTTTAGTCACTGGTGGATGGCGCCACCTGCTGCCACGGGGGTGGTGATGCACGTCGCCCTCAATCACCAGACATGGGTTGCCGTGGAAGCGGAACATGGGGGATGATCCTGGTGAGGGTTGAAGGTGAACAGGTGCGGACGTGCTGCCCGGTGTGAACCGGAGAGGGCACGTGACCGGCACGGGGTAGCAAAGGGACCCGAAGGGGGACCCGAGGGGCAAGTGATACGAGCCGGGAGCCTTCTGGCAAGATCGAGAAGGGGGCGAGGCCGCGCTGAACGGGATAAAGGGGAAGCCTCGACAGTGATCAGGGCTCGTCTGTGAAATCAACCCTGGGTGCTACATCTTCGGCCTTCGCTCGGCTAGGCTGACTGACCCGTTCGTGTAGCTAACCCGCTGTTCACATAGTTAACGGTCTAGTTAACGGTCTAGCTAACACATCGCAGTAGAACCAGTGTACGTTATAGTTCCCCTGTTGGGATATTGAAAAAAAAGTGTAGCCTGCAACTCTAGTGTGTGAAGAACACTACAGATGTATTAGCGCTGCAAGGCACAGGCAAGAGCGCGTGCATACGCACACACATGCGTGCAAACGCACACGCATGCATACACGCACATGCAGGCATACACACACACGCACGTACGCGCACACACACCATGACACACCAATACAAATAATACCAATACCCGCCATTCACCACTAAGTGACGGTAACGTCGCCACAGCATCTGTGCCAGGCCAGGTGCACTTTGAGGCCACGTGAAGTGTCGTAGGCTTGCCTGCAGGAGGTCCACATCCTCCCGTACCGCATCAATTCATCTCTTCTCCAGCCCATGTTGTGCCCGTTAAGGGTCATCCCCACCTTGCCGCATGATGTTGTCCTCTGCAAAACTGCAGACCTGCTCCTGGGGGTCATTTATCGGATTACTACTCATCCTTGCAGCACCACACGGCTCTCCGAATGTCCGAGCGAAGGCTGCGGTAAGCCTCCTCTCATTCTCCGATGTTGGGTGTTGTAGACGATGGGAGTGGGCCTGTCGATTTTCTGTCAACCAGCCAAAAAACCTCCTCGTTCAGCCAGGGTCTCTGGGGAGGTCTGGACCACATACCCAAAGCAGCAATTGCTGCTGCATGAGTGACAGTCCTGAACCTCACCCATTTCCTGTCAGCATCAGAAGGAGGGGGGCACGATGCTAACCTCGGCTGCAAGCGATGTTGAAATTCCTGCTAGCAACTATCCTCAGATAGCTGAAACCAGGCCACTGTGGGCTTGAATGGGATCCTCGATGGACACCCACCACAGGAGTGGAAGAATGGCAGGCGTATCTTACAGATGGCAAGTCAATGTTAAGTGGGCAGATCAGCTCTACGGTAGGTCTTCATGTCAAGGACATGGGCTCGCATCTGCTGTTCCGTCACCATATAGTCCAGGAGATTTCTTTCTTGGACCCGGCGTGCATCCATGATGTTGTGTAGGTGCACCAATGCCAGAACAGCGTGTTCGTAATTACCAGCCCATGGGCTGCACATACGTCCAAAAGCCTACCGTTGTTATTGAGCTGATCTTACCCATGCCTTCTGAACACTCCAACCCAGGTGTCTGCACCATGATCCACTTAGGCATTAAAGTCAGCAAACAAGATGACTCAATCCCTAGGGGCCACTTTAGCTAGCACCCGGGACAGGAGGTTATTGAAGGCGTCTGACTCATCAGCCTTGTCTGCATCCCTCCACTGATATTCATCTTCAGTATGGGCATAAGTAACCACGACCACTACTCCTCGCCTCTTGTTTATGGAGAGGTGAGCCCACAGTAGCATGGGACTTACAGCTTCCCACACCTAACCGCCATGCTCCCACACCCCCCTCATTCTTGTTCAAAAGAAGAGCCACTCCCTGTTGTTTGGTAGTCTCCTGCCCGAGTAGATGACTGTCCACCCCTCATGGTGGCAGGAGCCAGAGCCGGTCCACCAGACCTCCTGAATACCACAGAGATCCAGGCGGTACCGGTCCATCTCCCGACAGAAGAGTGGCAGCCTCTCCACCGCAACGAGTGTCCGCACACACACGCTCTCACATGCACACACACACGCAAATATGCACACATGCACACACACTCCAAGCTGGCACAAACATGCACAACAACAACAAAGACAAAGATCCCCCGTGTAGCCTTAACAGACTGTTGGGGCAAGTGCTGTTTGCGAGCACCTATATATGCCGGCACGACAACACCATGCCCGGCTGCCTTTGACTCCCCAGTGGCGATGTTTTAACACACCATACCAGGTACTCAATTTGAGGCTGAGTCGATATAGGGCAGGCCCAGGACCAGTTCAAATAATCGTTACTAGAGAATCGAACTCGGGTCACCAGGTTCATAGCGCAGTGCGCTAACCACACACACACATTAACACGCAGAACCCTCGTGGAGCCTCTATATAATTAAGTGGAGAACCCCATGCAATGCGATGCACTTAATTTGTGCTGTCACTGGTGACTGGGATGAGACCATCAAATCGCTAGAGACCGCGGTGTAACTACAGCTCAGTCTATAGATCTGTATGTGAGTGTATGGGTCATTATGTAAATCTATGATTGTCTATGTATGTCTAAGACTCTATGCAAGTCTATTGGTTTATATGAGTCTATGGGTCTCGATCTGAATCTATGGTTCTCTGTGTGAGTCTACGGGTCTCTGCGTGAGTCTATGGGTCTCTGCGTGAGTCTATGGGTCTCTGTGTGAGTCCATGGGTCTCTATGCGACTCTATGAGTCTCAGACGGTGCCGGCTCCACGCCTCTGACCTCGAGGCCGCTCGGCTCCACCCTCGGACAACAACAAAATCTATCGACACGACCCTGTGACCCTGCGACCCTGTGACCCTGCAACCCCGGCTGCCAACAGGGGCAACGCAGCGGGCCAGCGCTCACCCGGGAGCGGCCGGAGAATAGCGAGGGAGCGGCGAGGGAGCGGCGAGGGTGCAGTGGGTATGGCGCTAGCTCATTTGTTCACTCGCTCGTTCAGTCACTCGCTCATTCACTCATTCCCTCGCTCACTCGCTCGTTCACTCATTCCCTCGCTCACTGGCTTGTTCAGTCACTCGCTCATTCACTCATTCCCTCGCTCACTCGCTTGTTCACTCATTCCCTCGCTCACTCGCTCGTTCACTTATTCACTAGCTCACTCGCTCAGTCACTCGCTCAGTCACTCGCTCGTTCATTCATTCACTCACTCACTCGCTGGTTCAGTCACTCACTCGTTCACTCTTTCACTCGCTCGTTCAGTCACTCACTCGTTCACTCTTTCACTCGCTCGTTCAGTCAATCACTCGTTCACTCTTTCACTCGCTCGTTCACTCTTTCACTCGCTCGTTCACTCATTCACTCACTCATTCACTCTTTCACTCGCTCGTTCACTCATTTACTCGCCCGTTCACTCATTCACTCGCTCATTTACCCGTTCACTTAAAGACTCCCTCCCCCATCTCACTCACCCAGCGCTGACTCAACGCAGACTCACCACCCGCTCACTGCCACCCGCTGTGTCCACGGATCAGCAGGATTTTGGGCGGCCCGCGTCGTCCACCCCACTGCTGGCACGCTCGCTTGCCGACCCGGTCGCTCGCTGAGCCTGACACCGACTGGCTCCTCCGCGTGTAAGCGGTCACACGTGTCCCGCGTGCCCCCCCCGCGTGTCCACTGCTCGCTCGCCCCCGGCTCGCGTCCCAGCCCCGGCGAAGACACGGCGCAAAAATCCCCGAAAGGCGTGCATGGGCGAGCCTGGTCCCATCGCGACGGCCGATTCTGCCTGTCCGAACATCGCCACCTTCATCGTCGTCATGATGTCGGAGCATGCATCATCACCACCATCACCAATAATTCCAGTCAAGTCTCGCTTCTCTCTCTCTCTCTCACTCTTCCTGTCTCTCGTGAGCGAGTCGACAAAAACGTATGGAGGAGTGTTTATAGCGGTCGCACGTTTTTCGTTGCATCCAGAGCTCGTCCAGGGCTCCCCTACAGCTCCCCTACAGCTTCTCTAGAGCTCCTCTAGAGCTCGTCCAGAGCTCCTCCAGGGCACATCTAGGACTCCTCCAGAGCTCCTCCAGGACTCCTCCATAGGCCTCTGAGACGCTGCCTTCCTACCAAATGCCAGTGCGGTGGCTGTGGCGAAGCGAACAGAAGCTGAGTGAACGGGCGGGACAGACGCAGACATGCCGGCTGTTTAAATATCACCCCCCTCCTCCTCCTCCTGCTGCTAACACACAATGGGGTAGGGAGGGGGTGAGCGCTCAGCCCATACCTCCACCCCCCAGCTCCCCCCACCGTTTAGCCTCTCTCCCCCTCTCCTTCTTTATGAGCGCGCCAGGGCCAGTGCGTGGGGGGAGTGGGGGGCGAGCGGGCCCGGGCGTGTGGCAGAGGATGCCCAGGCAGACGAGGAGGGAGCCGAGGGGAGAGGCGCGCTGAGCGAGAGACGAGCACGCACGCACATGGCAGGCGACTGAGGGGGGGAGGTGGATCGTGGGAGGAGGAGGTAGGAGGAGGGGGGACGAGGGAGGCTGTATTAAATCATCGGTCTGCTTCACGTTTGTCAGTGACGTCACCCTCCTCCCAACCTGCCCTCTGCCGTGAACGCTCCGGACGCTGCACCCCCCCCCCACCACCACGATCGCTCATCGGCACCGCTCCATCAATAACCATTACAATTACACACAGACGACACGCAGACAAAGATCCCCCGTGTAGGCTGTAACAGACTGTTGGGGAAAGTGCTGTTAGCGAGCAGCACCTATGTGAAGGCCGGCACAGCCCACGCGGGGGTGGGTGGGCAGCAGCACCCACGGCCGCCTTCGTCTCCCCAGTGGCGATGTTTACACACCGCACCAGGTACTCATTTTAGGTTGACTCGACCTAGGGGAGGCCCAGGACTGGCTCAGATATTCGTCCCAGGTGTGAGCGGGAATCAAACTCGGGTCGCCGGGTTCACAGGGCAGCATGTTAACGACTATGCCACCGCTCCCCACAATTACACACAAAGACAAAGATCCCCCGATTAGCCTTAACAGACTGTTGGGGCAAGTACTGTTAGCTCCTGATGTTGCCCGTGAGTGGGATTTGAACTCGGAGCAACGCAACACGCAAATAACTAGTGACATAATTCGTACACACACACACACAGCGTCTCTCTCCCTGTGGATTTTTCTCAGGACCCTCCGGTTTTTCCCTCCACATTTAGAATCAACATCAACGTGTTCAGAGCATTTGGCTACGAGAAATGCCCACATGATGATCATAAGCCACTTCCACACACCCACGTGTACACACCCACCCACGTGTGCACACACAGGGAGCGGTAGTGCAGTGGTTAGCGCGCTGCGCTACGAACCCAGCGAGCCGAGAGAATCGTTAACACCAGTGACGATTATCTGAACCGGTCCTGGGCCTCCTCGAGGTTGACTCAGCCTCAAATAAGTACCTAGTGTGGTGTATGAACATCGCCACTGGGGAGACAAAGGCGGCCGGGCGTGGTGCTGGCCACCCACCTGTTGTATACGGCCCTATATATACAACACACCCCATCGTGTGCCGTGCTGGCCTTCATAGGTGCTCGCGAAGAGCACTTGCCCCAACAGTATGTTAAGGCTATACGGGGGGACTTTGTCTTTGTACACGTGTATGCACATGTGTGCTATATAGCAGCTCAGCGGGCCTTACCTGCCTTTTGTTCAAAAATGAGAGAATTCAAGAGAGCAGGACGGGTATTCAGGACGGGTCATCAATAGCAACAACGCCAGAGCCAAGTGCCACATGGGAAGCAAACAGAAACCAGAGCGGCGACACCGGGACAAACAAACGTTGCGTGACCTGGTCCAGCAGCAGCAGCCCAGTCGGGTTCGGATATAAACTAAACTATAAACTACATGCCACCACTCCGCTACCGCACCACCATGCCACAGCTCCACCACCACACCACCGTGCCACCCCTCCGCTACCGCACCACCGTGCCACAGCTCCACCACCACACCACCGTGCCACAGCTCCGCCACTACACCACCACACCACCGCTCCCCCACCACACCACCGAGTGCACTGGACTCCGATCCTGGTGACCTGATTCGATTCTCACTCACGGCTAACATCAGTGGCAAACTAAACCAGTCCTGGGGTCTCCCTTGTGTCGACTGAGCCTTAAATGAGTACCCGGTGCGGTGTGTAAACATCAGCACTGGCGAGACAAATGCGGCCGGGCATCGTGCTGGCCACCAACCCCCTCCATGTGCCGTGCCGGCCTTCATTGGTGGCTACTCGCTGACAGCACTTGCTCCAGCAGTCTGTGTGGTCTACACTGGGGATCTTTGTCTTGTGTGTCTACACACGCGCACACACAGCCGTATATAAATGCTTCGTACGCAGCTGCTACTGCTGCTGCCTGGGAGGAGACTGAAGCAGCTCAATTTAATTAGCGCGGCTCTCGGGAAATAAGCCAAACCACTCAGACAATCAACCCCGGGGCCTCGGAGATCCCCCATCACCTCCTCCTTTTTCTCCCTCCCTCTCTCCCAACACCACCACCCACCCACAACTCACCCACTCACTCACTCACCATCCCACTCACTGACTCACCATCACACTCACCCACTACCAACCCCCAACTCACCCATCCTCCACCCTACTCACTCACCCCCCCACCCCCGACTCACTCACCCACTTATCCAATCCACCCACCCACCATCCCACCCACTCACCCACGTACTCACTCACCATCCCATCCACCCTGCCAATCACTCACCTAACTTACCATCCCACCCCACAAGCCACTTGCCCACCCACTCATCAACCGACTCCCTGATGAACTCACCCACCCACTCTAGACCACCCAAGTGGTGGAGAGTGGGTGGGAGTGAGTAGGTGAGTGAGCAAGTGAGTGAGTGATTGGGTGAGTGAGTCAGTAGGTTAGTGAGTGAGTCAGTAGGTGAGTGAGTGGGTGAATAAGTCAGAAGGTGAGTAGGTAGGTGAGTCACTAGGTGAGTGAGTGGGTGAGTCCGTAGGTGAGTAGGTGACTGAGTGAATAAGTGAGTAAGTAGGTTAGTGAGCGAGTGAGTGGATGAGTGAGTAGGTGAGCGAGAGAGCAAGTGAACGAGTGAGTGCATAAGTGAGTGAACGAGTGAGTTAACGAGTGAGTGAACGAGTGAGTAAACGAGTGAGTGGACGAGTGAGTCAGCAAGTGAGGGAGAGAGCCAGTCGATGAGTAAGTGAGTAAGCGAGTGAGTGGATAAGTGATCGATCGAGCGGGTGAATGCGTAAGTGAGTGAGCGAGTCAATGGATGAGTGAGCGAGCAAGCGAGTGAGAGGGCGAGTGAGGAGTTAAGCGAGTGAATGAGCGAGCGAGTGGATGAGTGAGTGACCGAGTGAGTGGATGAGTGAGTGAGCGAGTGGATGAGTGAGTACGTGAGCGAGTGAGCGAGCGAGAAAGCGAGTGAATGAGTGAGTGAGAGGGTGAGAGCGAGAGGGTAAGCGAGCGAGCGGGTGAGCGAGAGGTTCAGCGAGCGACCTGCGAGCGGGTGAACGATTGAGCGAGAGGGCGAGTGGATGAGTGAGTGAACGAGTGAGTGAGCGGGTCAGCGGGTGAGCGAGAGGGTGAGCGAGCGAGAGGGTGAGCGTGCGAGCGGGCGAGTTCACCTCTGCAGGAACTCTGGGATGGGGACACGTGCCGCGTATCCGTGGCGACGAGCGCGCGCCATGGCGACCACCCCCAGCGTCCTCAACTGCCGCGCGACGACATCAGGCTGGAAGAGGGGGCCCGGGGGGGGCGCTGCCGTGGGGGGGGCTTGGGGGGCCGCCGCGATGGGACGCACACACAGCACCACGTGCAGGCTGCACGGACGCAGCAGGCCCAGGATCTCACGCACCGAGGACTGGCGGGGTTAAGGGGAGGGGGGGTGGGTGGGGGCAGGGGGGGGGCAAGAAGAGCAAGTGGGGGGGGGGGGGAGTGAGAGGGGGGTGCAATCAGGCCTGGCATTTATTTTGTTTACACAGAGATGAGGAAGCGTGCGTGAGAGGTCACGAGTAGCGCGAGAGGTCGCGAGTAATGTTAGAGGTCGCGAGTAATGTTAGAGGTCGCGAGTAGTGTTACAGATCACGAGTAAAGTTAGAGGTCGCGAGTAGTGTTAGAGGTCATGAGTAATGTTAGCGGTCGCGAGTAGCGTTAGAGGTCGCCGGTAGTGTTGGAGATCACGAGTAGTCTCAGAGGTCGCGAGTGGTGTTCGAGGTCCCGAGTGTTAGAGGTTGCAAGTAGTGTTAAAGATTGCAAATAGTGTTAGAGGTCGCGAGTAGTGTTAGAGGTCGCGAGTAGTGTTAGAGGTCGCGAGTAGTGTTAGAGGTCGCGAGTAGTGTTAGAGGTCGCGAGTAGTGTTAGAGATCATGAGTAATGTTAGAGGTCGCGAGTAGTGTTAGAGGTCGTGAGCAGCGTTAGAGGTTGCGAGTAGCTTTAGAGGTCGCGAGTAGTGTTAGGGGTCGTGAGTAGTGTTAGAGATCATGAGTAATGTTAGAGGTCGCGAGTAGTGTTAGAGGTCGTGAGCAGCATTAGAGGTTGCGAGTAGCTTTAGAGGTCGCGAGTAGTGTTAGGGGTCGCGAGTATTGTTAGGGGTCGTCAGTAATGTTAGAGGTCGTGAGTAGTGTTAGAGATCACGGGCGTTAGAGGTCACGAGTAGTGTTTGAGGTTGTGAGTAGCGTTAGAGGTCACGAGTAGCATTAGAGGTCGTGAGTGTTAGAGGTCGCGAGTAGTGTTAGAGGTCGCGAGTAGTGTTAGGGTCATGAGCAGTGTTAGAGGTCGCGAGTAGCATTAGAGGTCGCGAGTAGTGTAAGAGGTCGTGAGTTTTAGAGGTCACGAGTAGCGTTAGAGGTCGCGAGTAGTGTTAGAGGTCATGAGTGTTAAAAGTTGCATGTAGTGTTAGAGGTCGCGAGTATCGTTAGAGGTCAGGAGTATTAGAGGTCGCGAGCATTAGAGTTGTAATTGTGTCAACTCCACAGTTAAATCGCCTTCGTGGCGTTGACGCGTTCACTCCTTATTACGGACATTACCGGTTGTGGCTCCTGCTAGCAGGTCTGGCTAACGCTGCGGCGTGCGCATGAAGACTCGGCCACTGCAGTGGTGACGTAAAGGTCACCACGTTCCCAAATGTGTCGAGTTAACAACCCTCAAAGCAGTCAAGCGGGATGACACACAGCTGCTGCGAAGCTACAGCGGACTGTGAAACCCTGAGCTGTGACATGTACAGTCTGTCAAGGCTACACGGGGGATCTTTGTCTTCAGAGGATGAGCCAGCATTTTCAGGTAGAGGGGGCAACCCCTCCAGCAATGAAAAATGATAGGAGTTGTTAGTAAGTAAGGACTTGTCCCTTGCTTTTTATGCGACGCATGTGCGGCAATAGAACATGGCTTGGAAGTATGACATGATTTGATCGTTCGTCACCACCGCAGCAGTCTTCTTCTTGACATACAGCAGCATGGCGTCATTGAGGTAGTCGGAGCCCATTGCGGTGCGCAAACGCGTCTTGATGATTTTCAGGATGCTGAAGACGTGCTCGGCCATGACTGTCGCCACCGACAACGTCAGTATCAGCCGCAGCAATCGGTATACAAGGTGGTGGCCAGCCGTGGCCTGGCCGGTCTGCACCAGAATGACCGATAGTTCAGGAAGCGTGCCCACATTCTTCAATAGCTTGTCTTTCTCTATCTCCCTGCTGAAGTGGACCAGCTGCCGATTGAGAAGAATTAGGTCGACATCAGGAAAGTCGATCATGTAGAACTTGCGGGCCAGCTCCATGAGCTTGTCGACATTGAACGAGGCGAACTCCTTGCGTGGAGAGAGACATGCTGCTAGGCGGAGCATCTCCATTGACTCGGCGCTGAATCTGAGGGCGAACTCAGCCAGCATCTTATCTTGTCAATTCGCTGCGTAGAACAGGTCGACATGGAAAACATGATCATTGGTGTTCATGTGCCCATCGCTACGAGGCCGGCCAGGTCGGATGAAGTTGGCTATCATATCGGGCACCTCTATCTTGTGGATCTCACAAAACTGCTGCAACTTGTGGAGCAGGTCATCGTCGCCGGTAACGCGCATCTCTGTCAGCACTTCGACGACGCCATCGACCAACTGCAACGCATTGACGATGTCCTGTTCCTTCGTTTGCAGCGCCTGTGATAGGTCATGCGTGATAAGCAGCATCTTCTCCATTAGGTGCAAGATGAACGCAAACTTGAACGTGCACATGCTGTCGAGCAGGCGTGTCGCCTCTACTCGCTGCTCCGACTCCACATGCTGGATGACTTGCATTGTCGCGCCGAACATGTCGATCAAGCGACGCAGCGCGTGCCAGAATGACGACTAGCGTGTGTCACCTGGGCGCACCAACGCCGTCTCCTGGTTCAGACCAGCAGCTCCTTGGTCATCTTCAGCACGATCTTCTTCTGCGTGTTGATGAGATTGTCGTTGCGCTTGCAGGAGCTCGTTGCCACATTGATGATGTCACTGACCAATGTGAAGAACACGCCGATGTCGGGCACGCCATCCTTGCAAGCAGCAACCAGCGGGAGTTGGAGCTTCTGCGCCCAGCAGTGCCTGTAATAGGACAAATCGTTCAGCTGCTCGATCAGGGCGTGCAGGCCGATGATCTCGCCGCTCATATTGGACGCGCCATCGTAGGCCTGCCCGTGGCAGTTGGCGATCGGGCGACCGCGATTGGTCTGCATGTCGACAATGGAATTGCGGAGCTTGGGGGTGCACGCGTCGGTGACGTGCTTCAGGTCGACGAGACGCTCGCGCAGCATGCCAGTCTTGATCTCAACTAAGCGGTTAACGACGGCCAGTTGCTCCTTCTTGCTCGCATCAAGCGTCTCGTCCACCATGATGCAGTAGAAGGTGTCGACTTGTTCATCATCGAGGAGCTTTCGGACGATCTGGGCGTGGGCGTGGATGATGTCCTTCTGGATGTCGGGACTAGTCATGATGGCGTTCTGCGGGGCGTTGTCGAAAAATTGTTTTTCTGTATCGACACAAGTACTGCTTCCCCCCTATGTTCCGTTTGGAATTGATAAGAGCTACCCTACTGCCTCTACTTGATTACTGTGATATCGTGTATAAATCCGCCCCAAGTACTGTACTGAAGAAGATTGATTCCATCTATCACTCGGCCTTAAGATTTGCATTGAACTGCCCATATAGGACTCACCACTGTGATCTCTACATTGGGTCAAACTTAACATCTCTTAATGTTCGACGGCTTGTACACCAGATCTTATTTATTCACGTTGTACTTACAAAAAAATCCGCAGACTACCTGCTGGATCTCCTCTCTGTTTCAAAGAACAAATTTGACCTCAGGTCTTCGCTCATCTACCAGCTTCACATTCCCTATTGCCGTACAAAAACCGGAGTAAGGGCCTTTGCTATTGATGCCCCCAGGGTCTGGAATGCTATTGCCAATAAACTGCAACTTGAATCACTACCTATGAGATCTTCACTCAAAACTGCTCTAGAGGAGTTGTACACCCCTAGCTGTCACTGCTACTCAGTGGCCTAAAATGAAATAAAATGTTTCGCTCCGGATGACCGCTGCAAAGTATTATCTGTATTTTGATTTAGCGTGCTGATCTTAAAGGTGCATTGAAAAATGTGACACTCCGACTGATGCTCCTGTTATTTGTGGAGTGACTCATGCAGCCAGCTGTGGCTCTAGGGTTTGGTGTTACATGTTATTTATGTAGTTTATTGTTAAAAATTCGGTCACAGTTCCTATGATCACTGTTACATTGCATTTATGGCTTTATTTTAGTGATTTCTAAAAGTTTTTTGGTTTTGCCATGTTTTTGTTTATGGTAGTACGGAGTTAGACTGATGGCCTTAATCTAAGTTTTCTTGTTGTTGTTTGACTTGCATCCCACTGGGATTTTTGCACACAGCGCTGGTGTACAGTGCTATTTCAGGAATATTTTGATGTTTTTTCCTGGATTTTCTGTTTGCACATGCACAAAGTCACTTTAAGATGTTTTCTTGTTCATGTTGTTGTTTGTTGCGGTTGCACCCGATTCAAGAGCCGAATGGCTCACAAGGCTACACCAAATAAATGAAACTATGAAACTAAACTATGAAACTATGAGCGCGATGCAGGCCAGCTCGAAGTCGCGTTTGCACAGGAACTGAAGCAGCTCGAGGAAGATGCCGCGGTTGAGCGACTCGTCCGACTCATTGTGGCCCCGGCAGGCCAGCCCCTGCTTCATCAGGAATCGAATCGCATCGACTGATTCCTCCAAACGAGTCCGATTGTCAGCAATCGCCTGGGCCGTCTGCGTCTCCAGGCCGTGCTTGCCCGTGATGATGTGCATCTCCGTGTTCATCAAGTCTCTGGCCTTCTGTACCACCTGGTAGTGAAGTGACTGCACGCCGCCTTGATGGTGGAGAAGGCAGCAATTGCGGCCAAGAACCCATCTGAGACGAACGCATCCGAGCGATTGTAGGACGGAAAGAGGAAGCATGGGGAGCAGTAGACGGACTCGGTGTGGAACGAGTATTCGAGCCAATGGTACCTCTCAAACCACGATGGCTGCGGGCGGTGCTTTTTCCGCCCCCGTACATACATACGGGGGCGTTGAATGAACCAGCCCTGCATCAGGTACGAACGACGGATCTCAGTGACACTGTTTGGATCCTACGTTGAAATGGCTGGTCTCGTCCTGGGATCCTGATCGACGACGCACACCCCCTGCGGGCAATGGCGCTGGAGGCGGGGAGTTGGCGAGCGTTTCTGCTTCCGATTCATCAGTTACCGCCGTTGAAGACAAAGGGTCAGGGGATCGCGAACGGTGATGCTGAGTTGGAAGACGCTCTGGCAAATGGCTCGCTCGACGCTTCTGCAGCCATCAATCCAGGGTCGAATTCGAACTGTGTGTGACCGGCATCGCGCTCGCTGAAGGTGTTTGCCTTCAGGGAAGTCGTGTACTGTATACGCAACTGCGCACAATTCTGTGAGTCACTTATAACTGCTTTGCCGTTACTTATTGCCAATTATGGACTCAGACTATTGTCCTATCATCTCACAGAGTCCCTGGCACGTAATAATATGCTAGACAGTGGCAGTGGGGGTCGCAAAATGCCGATTTATTACTCATAAACCCCAATGATCCGATCAAAATGAGGGATTTCGATCAGATCATTGGGGGGGCACGTGCCACCCCCCCCCCCCCACCACTGGCTCCGCCACTGTTTGTCTTTGTTCCTTCGTAGGTGCTGCAATCTAGCCGCACTTGCCCCAACAATCTATGAAGGCTACACGGGTGATCTTTGTCTTTGTGAGACCGCCATCGCCCACACACCCACCACGTGCACTCAGCTGTTAGTGAAGACTGCCCTGGGTGGGGTGGTTAACCGGTCGGCGTGGGTCGGTGGCGACGTGGACTCACGGTGAGCTGCGTGCAGCGAGTGGGGGTTGAGTGGACGGACCCCGAGTACACCTGCTCAGACGCAGCCTCGCCAAGCTGGCACACACACACGTTACACACACGTTACACACACACGTTACACACACACACACACGTTACACACACACACACACGTTACACGCACACACACACGTTACACGCACAAACACACGTTACACGCACACACACACGTTACACGCACACACACGTTACACGCACACACACACGTTACACACATGCACTACACATCCGTTACACATATACACACTACACACACACTACGCACACACACATTACACACACATTACATACACACACACGTTACACGCACACACACACGTTACACGCACACACACACGTTACACACACAAACACACGACACACCCATGTTACACACACACGTTACACACATGTTACACACTACACACACACATTACACACTGCACACACACGTTACACACTACACACACACACACGTTACACACACCCCCACACACGTTACACACACACACGTTACACGCACACACACACGTTATACACACACACGTTATACACACACACGTTATACACACACACACAAACACTACACACCTGTTACACACACACTACACACGCACGTTACACGCACACACACGTTACACACACGTTACACAGACGTTACACACAGACACACACACGTTACACACTACACACACACACGTTACACCCACACAAACACTACACACGCACGTTACACGCACACGTTACACACAGACACACACACGTTACACACTACACACACACGTTACACACACACACACACACGTTACACCCACACAAACACTACACACCTGTTACACACACACTACACAGGCACGTTACACGCACACACACGTTACACACACGTTACACACAGACACACACACGTTACATGCACACACGTTACACAGACGTTACACAGACGTTACACACAGACACACACGTTACACACACACGTTACACACAGACACACACGTTACACGCACACGTTACACACAGACACACACGTTACTACACACACGTTACACACACACACACGTTACACCCACACAAACACTACACACCTGTTACACACACACTACACACGCACGTTACACACACACACACACACGTTACACACGCACGTTACACGCACACACACATTACACGCACACACACGTTACACAACAACCGCCATTCACCACTAAGTGGCGGTGATGTCACCATGACGCTTGTGCCAGGCTATGTGCACCTTGAGGCCACGTGAAGTGAGCTCCTCACACAATCCAGCCTGGTTAAACCCAGGATGGATCGTAGGCAGGCTAGCCTAAATGTTTCTAACCGGTGAAGATGTTCCATTAGGGGGGTCCACGTTTCGCAAGCATAGAGAAGGGAGGGAATGACTGTGGCCGAGAAGACCTGCAGCTTCGTGTGGAGCGAGAGACCAGGTAGCTTCCACACAGCGTTACACAACCGATGAAAAGATAATGCCGCTCGACTGATTCGGAGTGAGACCTCTGCTGTTAAACTGGAGCCGGTCATGAGCACACTGCCAAGGTATGGGAAACTCTCCACTCTCTCCACGACTGCCCTATCACCAATTGTGAGTTGTGGGGGTGGAGTGTCCGATGGTACAACATACCCAGGCAGGTGCTTAGTTTTAGTGTTGCTGATGGTAAGGCCCCACCTCTTGGTGGCACGTTCCAGGTTCAGCAGCAGCGCCTCCAACTCCTCCTCTGAGTAAGCAGCAATTACCAGATCGGCATATATAACGTGGTTGAGAAATAGGGAGCCATCCTTGGATTGCATCTGTGCAGGGCCGCCCTTTCCTGACACCGAATTGGGGCTCCGCAAGCCTCTCATCTGTGTGCCTGGCAGCATTCGCTTGGGAGATCATCTCTGCCCGGTGCCATTCCTGGTCTCAGACTCTGGAATGCCTTTAGTATTTCCTCAACAGATGGCACCTCAGCCAACCACTCACAGGGGATGACTTCTTCCAATATTTGAAACACCGCAGCCTCAGCAGGGTCATCTCCACTTTGTCCCACGATGTTTTCCATGCCGAAGGATTTCCCCTCCCCCAGGACTTCACAGAAATGCTCAGAAAATCTGCAAACCTATTCCTGAGGGTCGGAGATTGGCCCACCGTTTTTTCCCCTAATGACGCTGCAGGTTACTTTTTTGATGGAGTTAAAGAGCGGGCCATTGAGGCAGATTCCATCTCCTTAGCAACCCGTGACCACTACCCATGCTTGCAGCACCTCACGGCTCTCTGAACCTCCGAGCAAAGGCTGCCGTAAGCCTCCTCATTCTCTGATGTGGGATTCTGTAGACGATGAGAGTGGACCTGTCGCTTTTTCTCAGCCAGCCTGAACACCTCCTCTGTCAGCCAGGGTCTCTGGGGAGGTCTGGACCATGTCCCCAAAGCAGCCATTGCAGCTGCCTGAGCCACAGTCCTAAACCACGCCCATTTCCCCTCAACATCTGGAGGAGTGGGGGATGATGCCAACCCCCGCCGCAAGCGATGATGAAATTCTCGCTTATAACTTTCATCAGCTAGCTGAGACCAGGCCACCTTGAGTTTGAATTGGGTCGTGGGTGTATATCCACCACCGGAATGGAAGAATGGCAGGCATGTCGTCTTACAGATGACAAGTCGATGGTCAGTGGGCAGATCAGCTCCACGGTAGGCCCTGGTGTCAAGGATATGGGCCTGCATCCACTGTTCCATCACTACGTAGTCCAGCAGATGTTCTTGCTTGGACCCGGCATGCATCCGTGATGTTGTGTGGATGCGCCAATGCCAGAAGAGCGTGTTGGTAATTACAAGCTCATGGGCTTCACAAAAATCTAGCAGCCTCCTACCCTTGTTATTGAGCTGATCTGGCCCATGCCTGCCAATCACTCCAGACCAGGTGCCAGCATCATGACCAACTCTGGCATTGAAGTTGCCCAACAGGAGGACTATATCCCAAGAGGCCACTTTAGCTAGCACCTGTGACAGGAGGTCATAAAACGCATCTGACTCATCGGCCTTGCCTGCATCCCGCCATCGATGTTCGTCTTCAGTGGGGGCATAAGAAACCACGACCACCATTCCTTGCCTCTGGTCGATGGGAAGGCGAGCCCAAAGTAGTCTGGGGCTTACCACTTTGCACACCTCACCACCACGCTCCCACACCCCCTTCAGTCTTGTGTTCAGAAAAAGAGCCACTCCCTGTTGTTTGGTAGTCTCCTGCCCCGAGCAGAGGACTGTCCACCCCTCATGGTGGCAGGAGCCAGAGCCGGTCCACCGGACCTCCTGAATACCACAGAGATCCAGGCGGTACCGGTCCAGCTCCCGACAGAGGAGTGGCAGCCTCTCCTCCGCAGTGAGCATTCGAACATTCCACGTGGCCACACATAGTGTTTTTTGTTGTTTCTGGAGGAGCCCCGAGGGTAAGGATTCAGTCTCCTGGCTCCGCCAAATGGGGTTTGGCGAGGAGACGTCATAGACACCTATCTGCCCGGGCCCTCCGGCATAAGCTTTTTTATTACATTGTGGTCGTGGTTTAGTGGTAATTAATTTAAGATGGAGGGATTACCAGCCCCTCGCACCAATCCAGAGCCCCCATTTGGCCGCTGTGGTGGTTTCAAATGCCATGAGGGAAATGGCCAATCTAAATTGGCCCTCCCCACACGACACTGCCCACCACAGTGTTGCCATCTGGCCGAACACACACACGTTATACGCACACCTTACACACACGCACACACGTTACACTCACACACACACACTACACACACATACACACTACACACACACTACACACACACGTTACACACACACACGTTACACGCAAACACACCTTACACGCACAAAGACATTACACGCAAACACACCTTACACGCTCACACACACACACGTACACACACCCGTTACACACACGTACACACACGTTACACACACACACACGTTACACACACACACACGTTAGACACACGTTACACACACATGTTAGACACACGTTACACATACACACGTTAGACACACGTTACACATACACACGTTAGACACACGTTACATGTTACACACACGCGTTACACGTACACACACACACGTACACACGTACACACACCCATTACACACACGTTACACACACGTTACACACACACACGTTAGACACACGTTACACACACACACGTTAGACACACGTTACACACACACACGTTAGACACACGTTACATGTTACACACACGCGTTACACATACACACACACACGTTACACACACACGCGTTACAGACAACGTCGTCAACGTCGTTGTCAACATCGTCCACTATCACCTCGTCTTCGTCGCGTTCGGACGGAAGACCGGCGACGCCGGCGGGATCGAGGGCGGCTGCGCCACCGGGGGGCAGCATCGGCGGTGCACTGTGAGACCTCCCCGGTGCGTGTCGGGAGAGAGCGCAGTCCGCGAGGGTGCCGGTGAGGGAGAGGCGAGCGCGGAACAGGCGGCTCACCAGCACGCTGGGGCTCACTGCACACGGCGCGGACGCGGCGAGGATGGAGATAGAGGGGCGGCCCCAGCAACGCACCGCCCGCGACGCAATGACCGGCCCGACGCACGCCGCGGCACCGAGCCACCTCGGCGCTCTGTCTCCCGCTCGGGTGCGCTCCGTCAGCGGCGACCCTCACCCTCTCTCTCTTGTCACCGGCAACCCTCACCACCCCTTGTCACTGGCGATCCTCGCCCCCCCTTGTCACTGGCGACTTTCGCCGCCCCTCGTCGCTGGCGACCATCGCCCCCCATCACCGGCGACCCTCACTCCCCCTCGTCACTGGCGACCCTCGCTCCCCCTCGTCGCCGGCAACCCCCCCCCCCCCCCCCGTCACCGGCGATCCTCGCTCCCCCTCGTCCCCCCATCATCGCTGGTCCCCCGATGACCACTGTCCCACTCTCATAACCTTCAGCCGCGAGTGACCTCTGACCTTTCAGGAGTGAGGTCACTTGGTGTGGAAGTTCCAGCCTGTTGCGGGTTACGACCCCGCTCAAGTCATAGGTCACCTGCAAACAAAGATCCCCCATATAGCCTTCACAGATTGTTGGGTCAAGTGCTGAAAGCGAGCACCTATGAAGGTCAGCACGGCACACGAGGGGGTGGGTGGCCAACACCACGCCCAGCCGCCTTTGTGTCCCCCGTGGCGATGTCTACACACCACACCAGGTACTCATCTGAGGCTGAGTCGACCTAGTGGAGGCCCAGTACACGGTTCAGATAATCGTCACCGGTGTTGGCCACGAGTGGGAATCCAACTTGCGTTGGCAGGCTCGTAGCGCAGCGCGCTCGCCGCTACACTCCAGTGTATCAACCGTGACACTGTGGCAGCATCCATGTATGGAAAAGGCTCCGTGATCCGGTATCCATGGGGATTGGAGGGTGCCGGTTAATCAAACACGCATGTACACGCACGCACACACACATACGCCGGCCTGAGCACGTTGAAACTAAACTAAACAAAAAAAATGTATTGACCAGGTATGGGCCACTTAGCTATACAGCTCTTTTTCAGAACGACCTGGTCATCACAAATGATAGCTCAACGAAGTGGCTTATATTTATCACGTGGAAATTCATGGCAGCCAAATACTGTGACGTTGATTCTAAATGTGGAAGGGAAAAAAAAACCCGGAGGATCCGGAGACAAATCCACGCGACCATGGGGAGAGAGAGACGCAGGCGTCAGGGTCGGGATCAAACCCACAATCTCCTGCATACAGGCGAGGGAGTTAACATCTTCTAGCCAGCGTGGCGCTCATTGAGCAGTGTCCCCCATACCTTGTCAATCCCCTACCTTCCCAGGATCCATACCGTCCCAGTTCCCGTACCTTCCCACTCCCCCCGTTCCTTCCCACTCCCCCCGTACCTTCCCACTCCCCCCATACCTTCCCACTCCCACGTTCCTTCCCACTCCCCCCGTACCTTCCCACTCCCCCCGTACCTTCCCACTCCCCCCATTCCTTCCCACTCCCCCGTACCTTCCCACTCCCACGTACCTTCCCACTCCCCCCGTACCTTCCCACTCCCTGTACCTTCCCACTCCCACGTACCTTGCCAGCAAAGTGGCGCACCACAAACGAGATCCCACAATCCCCGGCGGGCGGCGTGTTGCCGTTGCCGTCGTGGGTCGCCGCGGCAATGGCGTTTCTGAGGGGCGTGGCCTGCAGCAGGAGGCGGAGCTTGTGCGGCAGGCCACCCTCCGCCTCGTCCGATTGGCCGGCAGCCTCCGACTCGGCGTCCAATAGGGAGAGGAATCCGCCGGGGGCCTGAGGGACAGGGCAGGGGGGTGAGGGCCTTTGGCGGCTCCGTCACCAGACGCGAGGCGACCGTCCGGTTACCGTGGCGACGCGACGGTGGTGTCTGGGTAAGGGCGACCATGTGTCCGGGGTCCTGCACTGAAGCATTGGTGCCCATCCACAGTTTACGGGCCTGAGCCAGTGGGTGGTAATTCCACCTTCCTGTGGCCGGGGCGATTGTCCATAGGGAAACCACTGCTGACTTCTGCACAAAGGAGTGGGTGGGGCTGCCTGAGTAGTGGGAAGGGACTGACGATGGGAGGGAGGGAGGCAGGGAGGGAGAGAGGGGAGCAGAGGGAGGGAGGGGCTACCTGGAAGAAGAACTGCAAGACGTGGCAGTTGCTGGGCGGTGGAGGTGGGGTCGTCTCCATGGCGATGCCCTCCTCCTGGCACTGGCTCCACTCCAGGGCAAAGGTGGCACGGTGTGCATGGTACTGCAGGCGCTCCACCAGTAAGGTGGAGCACAGCTGTCACACACAAAGACAAAGATCTCCGTGTAGCCTTAACAGACTGTCGTGGCAAGTGCTGTTAGCGAGCACGTATGAAGTCCGGCACGGCACACGATGAGGTGGGTGGCCAGCACCACGCCTGGCCGCTTTCGTCTCCCTAGTGGCAATGTTTACACAATGCACCAGTTACTCATTTGAGGCTGAGCCGACCTAGGGGAGGACCAGGACGTATTCAGATAATCGCTACTGATGTTGGCCGTGAGCGGGAATTGAACTTGCGTGACCAGGTTCGTAGTACGGTGCATTAACTGCTCCACGCACGCACAACAACTGCCATTCACCACCACGGTGCTTGTGCTTGGCTATGTGCACGTTAAGGCCACGTTAAGTGCACATACACATGCACGTATAACGACAACAACACTAAGTGGCGGTGACGTCACCACGACGCTTGTGCCAGGCTATGTGCACCTTGAGGCCACGTGAAGTGTCGAACACCCCCTGGCAGGAGGTCACGGGGCAGACCCAGATGCCACAGGTCGACTGACTGAGACGACTGGCTGATGCACCACCTGTGCTCCCTACTGTGCCAACTTGCTGTGCTTTAGCCACCCGGCGCTCCACTTGTTATTGTGTCACTCCTCCGCCCTTCGTTGTTGTTGGAGGGCGACTGCCTCCAACTGCTCAGTAGCGTCCTTCACCAGCCTCGTCCACAGAGGCCGATCTTGACACTGCTGGTACCAGTCATCGGCAAGTCCACTCAGCTCCACGTCCTCCTGTACAACATCACTCCATCTCTTCTCTAGCCCATGCTGCGCCCGTTCAGCCCCCTCAATCCAGCCGAACAAAAGCTGTTTATGCATGCGGTGGCTGGGCATGCGGGCTACATGACCCAGCCAATGCAGCCTTGCCTGCCGGAGGAGCTCACCGATGGGACTTTGTCCAGATCTTTCAAGGATTTGTGAGCTCCTCACACAATCCAGCCTGGTTAAACCCAGGATAGATCGCAGACAGACCAGCCTAAGTATTTATAACCGGCGAAGATGTTCCATTAGGGGGGTCCACGTTTCGCAAGCATAGAGAAGGAAGGGAATGACCATGGCCGAGAAGACCTGAAGCTTCGTATGGAGTGACAGACCAGGTAGCTTCCACACAGCGTTACGCAACCTATGAAAAGATAATGGTGCTCAAATGATTCGGAGTGAGATCTCTACTGTTAAACCGGAGCCAGTAATTAGCACACTGCCAAGGTATGGGAAACTCTCCACTCTCTCCACAACTGCCCCATCACCAATTGAGAGTTGTGGGGGTGGAGTGTCCGATGGTACAAAATACCCAGGCAGGTGCTTAGTTTTGGTCGGGCTGAGGTTAAGGCCCACCTCTTGGTGGCAAGCTCCAGGTTCAGCAGCAGCACCTCCAACTCCTACTCTGAGTGAGCAGCAATTACCATTTCATCGCCATACATAACATGGTTGAACAATAGGGAGCCATTCCTTGACCGCACCCAGGCATTGATCAGCCTCCCATTGTATCTGTAACAAATGTAAATTCCTCCGGAACAGCTATTGAAGGCTTCACGAACTACGTAGTCAAAATAGATGTTAAATAATATGGGAGCCAGAGGACATCCCTGTCGCACCCCAAGGTGAACAGGGAATGGCTCCGACTCTTGGCCACTTAGTTTTACCCCGGTCCGCTCACCATCATGAAGGTCCTTAATGATCGTGAGTAGAGGGTCAGGGAATCCTAAAGCTCGAAGAACAACCCAGAGCCCAGGCCTACTGATGGTATCATAGGCCTCGACCAGGTCAATAAAGCAGATATGTAGGTCTTGTTGAATTCCTTACACCTCAGCTGTAGCAGACGGACAGAAAATATGGCATCTGTGCAGGACCACCCTTTCCTGAAACCACATTGGGGCTCCGCAAGCCTCTCCTTAGCATGCCTAGCAAGGCGACGTTGAATAATCCTTGCCAGGACCTTATCCGGCACACTGAGGAGTGAGATGCCCCTGTAGTTGTTACAGTCTGTGCGGTTCCCCTTCTTAAAAAGGGGGACCACCAGGGCATCCTTCCAATCCTGCAGAACCCGTCCAGTGGTCCAGACTGTTGTTATGATCTTCTTTGATTCTTTCGGTAAAGTCACGTAGAATGAGAATAAAATAATAAATTGATAAAATAAAACACAATAATATTCTCACGACGTTTCGGCCACAACACAAGCGGCCTTCATCAAGTAAGGGGACAAGACTGTCTGAAGGACAGCGCTGGAGTGAGAAAGCCACGCTGAGATCACGACCTTTAAGCTTAGAGTCGCGGCATAAAAGCTTACAGGTCGTGATCGCAGCATGGCTTTCTCACTCCAGCGCTGTCCTCCAGACAGTCTCGTCCCCTTCACCTGATGAAGGCCGCTTGTGTTGTGGCCGAAACGTCGTGAGAATATTATTGGGTTATTTTATTTTATCAATTTATTATTTTATTCTCATTCTACGTGACTTTACCGAAAGAACCAAAGAAGATTAATCCTTGCAGTCACGAAAGCTTTAAATCGATGTTGTTATGATGTCATGTAGGGCAGTCGGTGGCCAAACGCCACCCTCCCTCAGCATTTCACTTGGGAGATCATCTCTGCCCGGTGCCTTTCCTGGTCTCAGACTCTGGATCGCCTTCAGTACTTCCTCAACAGATGGCACCTCAGCCAGCCACTCACAGGGGGTGACTTTCTCCTCCAATATTTTAGGCACCGCAGCCTCAGCAGGGTCATCCACACTTTGTCCTACGTAGTTTTCCTGGCTAAGGGATTTCCCATCCCTCAGGACCTCATAAATACTCAGCAAATCTGCAAACCTGTACCTGGGGGTCGGAGATTAGATCACCGTTCTTTCCCCTAATGATGGCAATATGTGTGGCGCTGCAGGTTACTTTTGTATGGAATTAAAGAGCGATTTTTGATCGCGGGCGACTGAGGCAGACTCCATCTCCTCAGCAAACCGTGACCACCACCCATCCTTTCAGCGCCTCACGGCTCTCCGAACCTCCGAGCGAAGACTGCGGTAAGCCTCCTCATTCTCCGACGTGAGATGCTGTAGCCGATTAGAGTGTGCCTGTTGCTTTTTCTCAGCCAGCTTGAACACCTCCTCTGTCAACCAGGGTCTATGGGGAGGTCTGGACCGTGTACCCAAAGCAGCATGAGCTACAGTCCTAAACCTGGCCCATTTCCCCTCGACATCAGGAGGAGTGGGGGACGATGCCAACCCCAGCTGCAAATGATGATGAAATTCTCACTTGCAACTTTCATCAGCTAGCTGAGACCAGGCCACTAAGAGTTTGAATGGGGTCCTGGGTGTACACCCACCACCGGAGTGGATGAATGGCAGGCGCATCTTACAGATGACAAGTCGATGGTCAGTGGGCAGATCAGCTCAACGGTAGGTCCTGGTGTCAAGGACATGGGCCCGTATCCGCTGTTCCGTCACTATCTAGGCCAGCAGATGTTCTTGCTTGGACCCGGCATGCATACATGATGTGGTGTGGATGCGCCGATGCCGGAACAGTGTGTTGGTAATTACCAGCCCATGGGCTGCACATACGTCCAAAAGCCTCCTACCGTTGTTATTGAGCTGATCTTACCCATGCCTTCTGAACACTCCAACCCAGGTGTCTGCACCATGATCCACTTGGGCATTAAAGTCAGCCCATGGGCTGCACAAAAATCTAGCAGCCTCCTGCCCTTGTTATTGAGCTGATCTGGCCCATGCCTTCCAATTACTCCAGACCAGGTGCCAGCATCATGACTAACTCTGGCATTGAAGTCGCTCAACAGGATGACTATCCCAAGGAGCCACTTCAGCTAGCACCTGTGACAGGAGGTCATAGAACGCATCTGACTCATCGGCCTTGCCTGCATCCATCTACGGATGTTCGTCTTCAGTCGGCGCATAAGTAACCATGACCACCACTCCTGACCTCTGGTTGATGGGAAGGCGAGCCCAAAGTAGCCTGGGGCTTAGAGCTTCCCACACCTCACCACCACACTCCCATGCCCCCTTCATTCTTTTATTCAAAAGAAGAGCCACACTCTGTTGTTTGGAAGTCTCCTGTCCCGAGTAGAGGACTGTCCACCCCTCATGGTGGCAGGAGTCAGAGGCCGTCCACCGGACCTCCTGAATACCACAGAGATCCAGGTGGTACCGGTCCAGCTCCCGACAGAGAAGTGGCAGCCTCTCCTCCGCAGTGAGCATTCGAACATTCCATGTGGCCACACATAGTGGTTTTTTGTTGTTTCTGGAGGAGCCCTGAGGGTAAGGATTCAGTCTCCTGGCTCCGCCAAATAGGGTTTACCTAGAAGACGTCATAGAAGCCTATCCACCCGGGCCCTCCGGCACAAGCTTATTTATTACATTTTGTGGTCGTGGTTTAGCGGTAATTAATTGAAGGTAGAGGGATTACCAGCCCCACCCACCTGTCCAGAGCCCCCATTTAGCTGCTCTGGTTGTTACAAATGCCATGAGGGGAAAGGCCAATCGGAATTGGCCCTCAAACCACAGCACTGCCCACGACAGTGTTGCCCGTCCGGCACCACAAGGAGGTAACGGGTTGTTTTTGCCGCACGAACACTCACATACACAAATGCACACGCCGACCTGAGTGCAGCTCATGCGCGCCTGTTTAGACGTTGAGACTAAACTCAACTATTTTTGTATTTTACCAGGTAAGGCTCCACTGAGCTATGTAGTTCTTGTTCAAAAGCGACCTGGGCCATAACAAATGATAGCTCAACAACAAAGTGGGCTTATTATCATCATGATCGCGTGGAGGGAAAAACCGGAGGATCCGGAGAAAAATCCATTCGCGGACAAACACACACACACACTCAGACCTGCTTTAGATCATCATTAGCGGTAAAAATGGTGTTTAGTATTTGTATTCATCCTAGTTATTGTCTAGCGATGTTTTTTAGAATGGGATTTTACATTTTTCTGGGTTAGATCGTGTAAATATAAATGTGTCGTTAAACCCACCACCACCCGAAACAGCCAGTTAGTGAGGGGTTGTGACGTAAATAGAACATGCCAATTCTTTACTAGTACAAGACAGCGGTGTGTTGGAGAGCAAATCTGCAACATTTACAATCTAAGTGCGACGTGTTAAACTGACTAACCTCTCTGGGTTTTTACGCGTTTGTTGAACTAATTTTGCTTGTAGTCTCTGCATGCAGCTAGAGTATTCATTTCAATTGTACTGTTGCCTATCTGTGGTCGCCGTGTACCAAACCCCATGAGCTAGGTCAGCGTTCAGTGGTGAATGTTACAGCTTTGGCTGTTGTGCCACTTTATAAGAAAGTAACCCCAGCAGTGTTCAAGAGCCTCCTGCAGTTAACGTCTCCTCTGGTTAATTCTCCTGTGGTCAGCATCCGCTTTGTTAATGTCTCCTGTTGCGATCTCGTAATGAGATCGCAACACGTTCATCGGCACCGTGAAGGTTCACCGGGTGTCTATTATTCCTCCGATCAGATGAAGCTGAGCTGTGACCCCACATGTGCGCATGGTGGTGAGGCCGGACACCCACCTGCTCAAAGGTGTTGGTGGTGGTGCCACCGCCGCCGGACGTGTGCAGGCCAGGGTAGTCCAGCACCGCGATGCCTCGCACCAGCTCGCTGCATGGCATCATGGGAGCACACGCAGAGAAGACGCTCAGTCCTGGCTTGTGTGCACACGTGTTTTTGTACTTGTGTGTACGTGTGTGTGTGTGTGTATGTGGAGCTGATCTGCCCTCTGACCATCGACTTGTCATCTATAAGATGCGCCTGCTATTCTTCCACTCCGGTGGTGGGTGTACACCCAGGACCCCATTCCAACCTAAGGTGGCCTGGTCTCAGCTAGCTGATGGAAGTTGCAAGCGAGAATTTCATCATCGCTTGCAGCTGGGGTTGGCATCGTCCCCCACTCCTCCTGATGTCGAGGGTAAATGGGCGAGGTTTAGGACTGTGACTCATGCAGCTGCAATGGCTGCTTTGGGTATGCGGTCCAGACCTCCCCAGAGATCCCGGCTGACAGAGGTGTTCAGGATGGTTGAGAAAAAGTGACAGGCCCACTCTCATCGGCTACAGCATCCCACATCAGAGAATGAGGAGGCTTACCCCAGCCTTTGCTCGGAGGTTCGGAGAGCCATGAGGCGCTGCAAGGATGGGTGGTGGTCGTGGGTGGCTGAGGAGATGGAATCTGCCTCTGTGGCCCGCGATCACAAATCGCTCTTTAATTCTATCAAAAAAGTAATTTGATCCAATCTCCGACCCCAGGAACAGCTTTGCAGATTTGCTGAGCATTTCTGTGAGGTCCTGGGGGAGGGAAGTCCCTCATCCTGCAAAACATCATGGGGCAAAGTGGGGATGACCCTGCTGAGGCTGCCATGCCTCAAATATTGGAGGAAGAAGTCACCCCCTGTGAGTGGCTGGCTGAGGTGCCATCTGTTGAGGAAGTACAGGAAAGGCACCGGGCAGAGATGATCTCCCAATCGAAATGTTGAGAGAGAGTTTCCATCTGTGCACAGACTGCCCTACGTGACATCATAACAACAGTCTGGGCCACTGGACGGGTTCCACAGGATTGGAAGGATGCGCTGGTGGTCCCCCTCTTTAAGAAGGGGGACCACACAGACTGTAACAACTACAAGAGTATCTCACTCCTCAGTGTGCCGGGAAAGGTCCTGGCAAGGATTATTCAACATCGCCTTGCCAGGCACGCTGAGGAGAGGCTTGAAAAGCCCCAATGTGGTTTCAGGAAAGGGCGGTCCTGCAGATGCCATATTTTCTGTCCATCTGCTACAGCAGAGCTGTAGGGAACTCCAACAAGACCTAGATCTCTGATTTATTGACCTGGTCAAGGCCTATGATACCATCAGTAGGCCTGGGCTCTGGGTTGTTCTTCATGCTTCCGGAGTCCCTGACTCTCTGCTTACGGTCATTAAGGACCTTCATGATGGTGAGCAGGCCCGGGTAAAACTACGTGGCTGGGAGTCGGAGCCATTCGCTGTTCACCTTGGGGTGCGACAGGGATGTCCTCTGGCTCCCACATTATTTTACATCTACTTTGACCACGTAGTTCGTGAAACCTTCTATTTCTATACTGTAGGAATTTCCATCTAGGCTGATTGATGCCTGGGTGGCTCCCTATTGGTCAACCATGTTATGTATGGCGATGAAATGGTAATTGCTGCTCATTCAGAGGAGGAGTTGGAGGCACTGCTGCTGAACCTGGAGCATGCCATTAAGAGGTGGGGCCTTACCATCAGCCCCACCAAAACTAAGCACCTGCCTGGGTATTTTGTACCATCGGACACTCCACCCCCACAACTCTCAATTGGTGATGGGGCAGTTGTGGAGAGAGTGGAGAGTTTGCCATACCTTGGCAGTGTGCTAATTACTGGCTCTGGTTTAACAGTAGAGGTCTCACTCCGAATAATTTGAGCACCATTATCTTTTCATAGGTTGCATAACGCTGTGTGGAAGCTACCTGGTCTCTCGCTCCACACGAAGCTTCAGGTCACAGTCATGCTCTCCTGTCTCTATGCTTGCGAAACGTGGACTCCCCTAATGGAACATCTTCACGAGTTATAAACATTTAGGCTGGCCTGCCTTCGATCCATCCTGGTTTGACCAGGATGGATTGTGTGAGGAGCTCACAAATCCTTGAAAGATCTGGACAAAGTCCCATCAGTGAGCTCCTCCATCAGGCAAGGCTGCATTGGCTGGGTCATGTCGCCCGCATGCCCAGCCACCACATGCCTAAACAGCTTTTGTTTGGCGGGATAGAGGGGGCTAAACGGGCACAGCACGGGCAAGAGAAGAGATGGAGTGATGTGGTATAGTAGGATGTGGAGCTCAGTGGACTTGCCGATGACTGGTACCAGCGTTGTCAAGATCGGCCTCTGTGGAGGAGGCTCGTGAAGGACGCTACTGGGCAGTTGGAGGCAGTCGCCCTCCAACAACAACGGAGGGCGGAGGAGTGACACTCACAACAACGAGCGGAGCGCCGGGTGGCTAAAGCACAGCAAGTTGGCACAGTAGGGGGCACACGTGGTGCATAAGCCAGTCGTCTCAGTCAGTCGACCCGTGGCATCTGGGTCTGCCCGGTGACCTCCTGCCAGCGGGCGTTCGACACTTCGCGTGGCCTCAAGGTGCACATAGCCTGGCACAAGCATCGTGATGACATCACCGCCACTTAGTGGTGAATGGCGGTTGTTGTGTGTACGTGTGTGTGCGTGTGTGCGTGTGTGTGCGTGTGTGCGTACCCAGTGTGCTGCGCTCGCGTCTGTGTGTCGACGAGGTGGACGATGTAAGAGAAGAGGCGCGAATAGAGAGACTGAGCGAGCAGATCCCTCACTCGCTCAGCCTCGCTCACCAGCACGCGGCGGCACACCATCTCACCTGCACCACACCACACCGCATCACCTCACCTGCAACACATTACCTCACCTGCACCACACCACACTACACCACACTGCATCACAACAGACCACACTTCACCATACCTCATCATACCACCTCACCTGCACCGCACCACAACGTGTCATACCACAACGCGTCACACCATACCATGTCACAACCACGCTGTGTCACACCATGCCGCTTTATGCCATGCTGCATCACACTGCACCACACTGCCTCACACCACACCGCATCACTCCACACCACACCGTATCACACCACGTCACACCACATCGCGTCGTCACACCACATCGCGTTATCACACCACACCATATTACCCCACACCGCGTTATACACACCGTGACACACCACACTGCTTCACATCACACCGCGTCATGCCACACCTCGTCAAACCACACGGCGTCACACCATACGTCACACCACACCATATAACACCACATCGTGTCACACCACACCGTGTCACACCACACCATGTCACACCACACCGCATTACACTACACCGCGTCACACCACACCGCGTCACACCGCATCGCGTCATCACAACACGTCACACCATACCACGACGCGTCACACCACACCATGTCACACCACGTCATACCACACCGCGTCACACCACACTGCTTCACACAACACCACGTCACACCACACCTCGTCAAACCACACCGCATCATACCACACAAAGTCACACTACACTGCTTCACACCACACCACGTCACACCACACCTTATCAAACCACACTGCATCACACCACACCACATCACACCACACCGTGTCACACCACACCGCGTCACACCACACCGCGTCATACCACACCGTTTCACACCACACCGCTTCACACCATGTCACACCACACTACGTCACACCACACCGTGTCACACCACACCATGTCACACCACTCCCGCTTCACATTGTGTTACACCACATCACTTCACACCACACCACACCGTGTCACACCACACCGTGTCACACCACATCACTTCACACCACACCACACCGTGTCACACCACATCACTTCACACCACACCACACCGTGTCACACCACATCACTTCACACCACACCGTGTCACACCACATCACTTCACACCACACCACACCGTGTCACACCACATCACTTCACACCACACCACACCGTGTCACACCACACCACATTACACCACACCGTGTCACACCACACCATGTCACACCACACCACACCGTGTCACACCACACCACACCGTGTCACACCACATCACTTCACACCACACCACACCATGTCACACCACACCACACCGTGTCACACCACACCACACCGTGTCACACCACATCACTTCACACCACACCACACCATGTCACACCACATCACTTCACACTACACCACACCGTGTCACACCACATCACTTCACACCACACCGTGTCACACCACACCACACCACACCGTGTCACACCACACCACACCGTGTCACACCACATCACTTCACACCACACCGTGTTACACCACATCACTTCACACCACACCACACCGTGTCACACCACACCGTTTTACACCACATCACTTCACACCACACCACACCGTGTCACTTCACACCACACCACACCGTGTCACACCACACCGTGTCACACCACACCGTGTCACACCACATCACTTCACACCACACCACACCGTGTCACACCACACCATGTCACACCACACCACACCGTGTCACACCACATCACTTCACACCACACCACACCGTGTCACACCACACAACACCACACCGTGTCACACCACACCGTGTCACACCACACAACACCACACCGTGTCACACCACACCGTGTCACACCACACCACACCACACCGTGTCACACCACACCGTGTCACACCACACCACACCATGTCACACCACACCACACCATGTCACACCACACCACACCATGTCACACCACACCACACCGTGTCCGCACCTCTGACGATGCGGCTGCTCGTTGCGAGCGCCGCCCCCAGCTCCTGGGGCTCCACCTGCAGGAGACCGCCGACTGCACCACAGAGACAGCGCCCACTCATCAGCAGGCCCCACGGCTGCTCCCCTGCGTGTGTGTGTGGGCACGTGTTTGTGTGGGCGCATGTGTGTGGGAGCGTGTGTGTGTGGGCGCGTGTGTGTGTGGGCGCATGTGTGGTCGCGCGCGTGTGTGGTCGCGCGCGTGTGTGGTCGCGTGTGTGTGTGGGCGCGTGTGTGTGGGCACGTGTTTGTGGGCGCATGTGTGTGGGAGCGTGTGTGTGTGGGCGCGTGTGTGTGTGGGCGCGTGTGTGTGTGGGCGCGTGTGTGGTCGCGTGTGTGTGTGGGCGCGTGTGTGTGGGCACGTGTTTGTGGGCGCATGTGTGTGGGAGCGTGTGGGCGCCTGTGTGTGGGTGGGCGCGTGTGTGTGGGCGCGTGTGGGAGCGTGTGTGTGGGCGCATGTGTGTGGGAGCGTGTGGGCGCCTGTGTGTGGGCGCGTGTGGGAGCGCGTGTGTGTGTGTGGGCGCGTGTGTGTGGGCGCGTGTGTGTGGGCGCGTGTGTGTGTGGGCACGTGTTTGTGGGCGCATGTGTGTGGGAGCGTGTGGGCGCCTGTGTGTGGGTGGGCGCGTGTGTGTGGGCGCGTGTGGGAGCATGTGTGTGGGCGCATGTGTGTGGGAGCATGTGGGCGCCTGTGTGTGGGCGCGTGTGGGAGCGCGTGTGTGTGTGTGGGCGCGTGTGTGTGGGCGCGTGTGTGTGGGCGCGTGTGTGTGGGCGCCTGTGTGTGGGCGCGTGTGGGAGCGCGTGTGTGTTTGTGGGCGCGTGTGTGTGGGCGCGTGTGTGTGGGCGTACGCACTTGTGGGGGAGTGGCGGCACAGCTGTTGGCACCACCAATCGCCACCTGGGTGGCTCAGTGAGAGGGCTGATGGGCTGTGGTTGACTCAGCCCATCAGCCCCCTCTCTCTCTTCCAGGGCCGGTAAGGCGGTGACCACGTTGTGGAGTGTTTGTTTCTCTGTGTGCGGTGTCTTTACTCACCAATCTCCACTCACACTCACCACACAAACCTCGCTCGCCACGCTCCCCACGCTCCCCCCCTCGCTCCCCTCACTCCCCACGCTCGCCTCCCTCGCCACGCTCATCTAACTTGCCATGCTCCCCTGACTCACCTAACTGCCAAGGCTCGCCTCACTCGCCACGCACCCCTCCCTCGCCACGCTCCCCTCACTGCCCACGCTCCCCTCCCTCGCCACGCTCCCCTCACTGCCCACGCTCCCCTCACTGCCCACGCTCCCCTCCCTCGCCACACTCCCCTCACTGCCCACGCTCCCCTCACTCCCCACGCTCCCCTCACTCCCCACGCTCCCCTCACTCACCAGACTCCCCTCACTACCCTCACTCACCACGCTCCTCTCACTCACCCATCTGGAGTTGCCACGTGGAGGGCACGTGAGCCCAGGTGGTGCCGTCCTCATAGGGGGAGAGGGTGATGGGGACATCGCCCAGGTGCAGAACGGCAGCCAGCAGCGCCAGCACGCACTCCGTCTCCTACGGCATGACCCCACCAGCACACACACACACACAGACAGACACGGGGTCACACACACAAAGACAAAGTTCCCCCGTATAGTCTTAACAGACTGTAGGGGCAAGTGTTGTTAGCGAGCACCTATGAAGGCCGGCACAGCGCACGAAGGGGTGGGTGGCCAGCACCACGCCCGGCCGCCTTTGAGGCTGAGTTGACCTAGGAGAGGCCCAGGACAGGATCAGATAATCGCCACTGGTGTTGTCCATGAGTGGGAATAGAACTCAGATCGCCAGGTTTGTAGCGCAGCATGCTAACAACTACACTACCGCTCCCCATGACATGCAAACACACGGGGTCACATATATACAAACACGGTTGAATTGTGTCGTATTGTAGACTTGTAGTAGGCTTGTGTTGTGTCGCATTGTATCCTAGGCTTGTGTTGTGTTGCTCCACATCGCGTTGCGTGGCGCGGTGCGGCCATGCGTGTGAGCGCCACTCACGGCGTCCGTGAACCCGAAGGCCGCCAGGGCCTCCTGGAAGGCCAGGAACCTGTGCCTGGCCTCGGCAGTGCCGCCCACCACAGCCGCACCCTCACCCCCCTCCCCCTGCTGCCCCCCCACGTTCTGGGACAGGAACCTGAACACGGCACACAGCGGGGTCAGCATTCACGCGACACAACCACCACCGCCGCCACCACCGCCACCACCGCCGCCACCTCCGCCACCTCCACCGCCACCACCACCACCACCACCGATACCGCTCCGCTACCACCACCGCCACCACCGCCGCCACCACCACCACCACCGCCGCCACCCACCGCCACCACCACCGCCACCACCGCCACCACCACCACCGCGACCACCGATACCGCTCCGCTACCACCACCGCCACCACCACCACCGCCGCCACCACCACCACCGCCGCCACCGCCGCCACTTCCACCACCACCACCGCCACCGCGACCATCGATACCGCTCCGCTACCACCACCGCCACCACGACAACAACCACCACGACAACAACCACCATCACAACCACCGCAACCTTCACTACCACCGCCACCTTCACCACTGCCACCATCGCCATGAGAAACTAGAGCCTGGCCTTGGCCAAGCAGTCACAGTAAGATGTTAACTACCTCGCCTGGTATACAAGAGGTCGTGGGTTCGATTTCCACTCTGACGCCTGCTGTATGTTTGGAGTTTGCGGTGTCTCTTTCCCCGTGGTCGCGTGGATTTGTCTCCGGGTTCTCCGGTTTTTCCTTCCACGTTCAGAATCAACGTCACGCGTTCAGAGTATTTGGCTGCTATAAATTTCCACGCGACAAGCCACTTCATTTAGCGATCATTTGTGATGGCCCAGGTCGCTTCTGAGCTCCGTAGCAACTCAGTGGGGCCTCACCTCATCATTGAGATGGGTGTGGCTCAGGGCCCATGAGGGCTGAGCAGTTGTGGCAACGTGGTGGTGCAGGGCGGACGACGGGACACGGACGCACGCCAGAGAGACAAGGGGAGAGCGAGATGAGAGACGCGGAAACGGGACACGGTCACGCGTGATAGACAGAGGGAGACACTGGGAGACCGAGGCTGCAGACAGACACGCATAGAAAGACAGACACACAAAGAGACACGAGAGAGAAGCACAGAAACACTGAGAGAGACGTGGAGAGAGATACTGAGAGAGACACTGAGAGAGAGAGAGACACTGAGAGAGACACTAAGAGAGACACTGAGAGAGAGACACTGAGAGAGACTGAGAGAGAGACACAGAGAGAGACACACTGGTAGAGAGATACTGGTAGAGAGACATTGAGAGAGAGGCATTGAGAGAGAGAGACACTGGTAGAGAGACACCGGTAGAGAGACACTGGTAGGGAGACGCGGCCCCTGACCGGTGAGCGGTGGGAGACAGCAGGCAGTAGCGCGCTCGCTGCTCTGCAGGGAGCCCCTCCAGCAGCAGCCGGAATGCCGCCAAACTCCACCCAGAGCCTCGGGCCCAGCCCAGGCGCCAAGTCTCCAGCAGGTAGACACGCACGCTGGCTGTGGGAGCGGGCCGCACAGAGTACACACGCACGGTACGCGCACGGTACGCGCACGGTACGCGCACGGTACGCGCACGATACACAAAACGGTACGCGCACGGTACACACGCATGGTACATGAAACAGTACACGTGACACGGTACACACGCACGGTACACGAAACACGACGCGTATGGTACACGCGCACGGTACACACGCACGGTACGCGCACACGACACACGTGCACGGTACACGAAACGGTATGCGCATGGTACACGCACGGTACACATGCACGGTACTCGCACGGTACACACACACGGTACGCCCACGGTACGCCCACGGTACACGCATGGAACACACGCACGGTATAGACGGTACACACATGTAGACATCAGCGAGCGCACGGCGACCGCGAGAGACTCGGGTATAGCAGCGGCTCTGCGTTTGACGCACTCTCCCTGAACTGATCTCCCCGAACGCTGGGCACAGGCGACAGTGACGGTGACCCCCTCCCCTCCACACCGCCTTCCACAGTGGCATTGCAGAGCAGGCCCAGAGAGCTACAAACACTGACACGGCACTCTCTCCCCCGTCACTCTCTCCCCCGTCACTCTCTCCCCCGTCACTCTCTCCCCCGTCACTCTCTCCCCCGTCACTCTCTCCCCCGTCACTCTCTCCCCCGGCACTCTCCCCCGGCACTCTCTCCTCCGTCACTCTCTCCCCCGTCACTCTCTCCCCCGTCACTCTCTCCCCCGTCACTCTCTCCCCCGGCACTCTCTCCCCCGTCACTCTCTCCCCCGTCACTCTCTCCTCCGGCACTCTCTCCCCCGTCACTCTCTCCCCCGGCACTCTCTCCCCCGCTTTAATTGCCACACTGTGAGCGCCTCTCCCTGCGTCATGGCGAACGAGGCTTTCGTGAATTTTGTGGCTGGGTTTACAGATGGAGATCGGCGATCAAACGAAATTAGTCGGGACACCTCAACAGCAGAACCGAGCAAAGGACAGAGCGAGTGAGGGAGGGAGCGAGTGAGTGAAGGAGGGAGCGAGCAAGTGAAGGAGTGAGCGAGTGAGTGAAGGAGTGAGCGAGTGAGCTAATGAGTGAGGGAGCAAGTGAGCGAGTGAGTGAAGGAGTGAGTGAGTGAGCTAGTGAGTGAGCAAGTGAGCGAGTGAGTGAAGGAGTGAGCGAGTGAGCTAGTGAGTGAGCGAGTGAGTGAGTGAGTGAGCGAGTGAGCTAGTGAGTGAGCGAGTGATGGGACGTACCGCCCAGCAGACAGCCGGTCACATGACTGTACTGCAGCTCCACATGTTTGGTGAAGGCACTGGCACTGGGGTTGAGCACCGTCCGCGCGTTTCCCAGCGCCTCCAGGATCGTGTGGGCCTGCGGTCAACAAACAAAGCCAAAGCAGCAGCAGCAGGGTATGAAAAAACTCTCCGATATACGTTTTTATAAAGCCAACATGGGCAAAGACAAACTTCACCCTGATCGTTGTTGTAGTTTTTTGGGTTTTGGCCGCATGACGACCGGGGCCAAATCTGTGTGGTGAGACCCTCCGCCACCCGACGCAGCCGACGCGCAGGCGAGCGGTTTAACGACCCGCCGAGGTATTATGGCGGTGGCGGTCGCCCTTCGCTCTCCAGGCTCGCCCCACGTTCACTCCACACTGCAAACGTAGACCACGGTCATTCCACACTACACCACATAGACCACGCTCACTCCACACTACACCACACAGACCACGTTCACTCCACACTACACCACACAGACCACGTTCACTCCACACTACACCACACAGACCACGTTCACTCCACACTACACCACACAGACCACGTTCACTCCACACTACACCACACAGACCACGTTCACTCCACACTACACCACACAGACCACGCTCACTCCACACTACACCACACAGACCACGTTCACTCCACACTACACCACACAGACCACGTTCACTCCACACTACACCACACAGACCACGTTCACTCCACACTACACCACACAGACCACGTTCACTCCACACTACACCATAAAGACCACGTTCACTCCACACTACACCACACAGACCACGCTCACTCCACACTACACCACACCGACCACGTTCACTCCACACCACGTAGATCACGATCACTCCACACTACACCACACAGACCACGTTCACCGGGCTCACGTGGGAGATTTTGTCGGCGAGTCCACTGGCGGGCGCCTGCGAGCGGTGGAGGAGGTGCTGGATGAGCAGCCGGCAGCTCTCGCTCTTCCCCGAGCCGCTCTCCCCACTACAACAAGCACAGAGGAGGTCCCCACCCCTGGAGCCTTTAAACGGTCGGTGGAGGTGAGTGTGGAAACTACCCGGTCTGTCACCACGGTCGTGCCCTCCCTCCGCTTGCTTGTGAAATGTGGAACCCTCCAATGGAACATCTGCGCCGGTTAGAAACATTTAGGCTGGCCTGCCTACGTCCCAGCCTGGGCTTAACCAGGCTGGATTGTGTGAGGAGCTCACAAATCCATGAAAGATCTGGACACAGTCCCATCAGTGAGCTCCTCCAGCAGGCAAGGCTGTGTTGGCTGGGTCATGTAGCCCGCATGCGGGGGCTAAACGGGATTGAAACGGGCTGGACTGATGAGTTATGGGAGAATGTGGAACTGAGTGGACTTGCCAATGACTGGTACCAGCAGTGTCAAGATCGGCCTTTATAGAGGAGGCTCATGGAAGACACTGCTGGGCAGCTGGAGGCAGTCGCCCTCCAACAACAACAGAGGGCAGAGGAGTGACGCTCACGACAACGAGCAGAGTGCTGGGCAGATAAAAATACGGCAAGTTGGCACATTAGGGGGCATAGGTGGTGCATCTACCAGTCATCTCAGTCAGTCAACCCATGGCACCTGCTGGGTCTGTTCCATGACCTCCTGTCGGTGAGCCTTCAACACTTCACGTGGCCTCAAAGTGCACCTGGCCTGGCACAGGCGCCGTGGTGACGTCACCATCACTTAGTGGCGAATGGTGGGTATTGGTGTGTGTGCGTTGTGAGCATGTGCGTGCGTGTACATGTGTGTGTGCGTGTGTACGTGTACATGTGTACGTGTGTACGTATGCGTGTGTGCGTGTGTGTACATGTGTGTTTACACCTGTGTGTGCGTGCTTGTGTGGGCATGAGTGTGTATGCAAGTGCGTGCGTGCGCGTGCGTGCGTACATACTTGTTGTCTGCGTGCGTGTGTATGTGTGCGCATATGTGTACGTGTGTGCGTGTTTACGTGTTTGTGTGCGTACGTGCGCGTGCGTGAATCGTGTGTACGTGTTCGTGCGTGCATGCGTACGTGCGTGCGTACGTGCGTGCGTACATTCGTGTGTGTGTGCGTGCGTGCGTTGGTGTGTGTGTACGTGCGTGTGTTTACGTGTGTGTACGTGAGTGCGTGTGTACGTGTGTGTGTACGTGCGTTGGTGTGTGTGTACGTGAAAGCGTGTGTACGTATGTGTGTATGTGCGTGCATGTGTACGTGTGTGTGTACGTGCGTTGGTGTGTGTGTACGTGAGGGCGTGTGTACGTGTGTGTGCACGTGCATGCGTGTGTACGTGTGTGTGTACGTGAGTGCGTGTGTACGTGAGTGTGTACGTGCGTTGGTGTGTGTGTACGTGAGTGCGTGTGTACGTGTGTGTGTACGTGCGTTGGAGTGTACGTGCGTGAGTGCGTGTGTACGTGTGTGTGTACGTGCGTGCATGTGTACGTGTGTGTGTACGTGCGTGCGTGCGTGTGTACGTGTGTGTGTACGTACGTGCGTGCGTGTGTACGTGTGTGTGTACGTGCGTGCGTGTGTACGTGTGTGTGTACGTGCGTGCGTGTGTACGTGCGTGCATGTGTACGTGTGTGTGTACGTGCGTGCATGTGTACGTGTGTGTGTACGTGCGTGCGTGCCCACCTAAGCATGAAGCCCTGCGAGCGGCGCTCCCGGCGCAGGGCGTGGTATGCTCGCTCGGCGACGGCGAACACGTGCGGGGGCAGCGTCGCCCACAGCTTGCCAGAGTGGCTCAGGTAGAGCTGGGAGACCTGGTGGGCACACGCACCGGGGGAGGGGCGCAGGGGGAGGGGGGAGAGGCGGGGAGGAGGGGATGGGGGGTTGGGGGCGAGACCCACGGGGGTGTGCAGGTGAAAAAAAAAGGAAGGAAACAATTATAATTTTATTTTAACGACCTTTTTGCCAGTATCAAAATGATGAAAAATAAGAAAGCGTTTGACCCTTTCTGGCAATTAATTCATCAGGCATAAAATCTGCATTAACCACACACACTTAGTACATACTTAGTATGTGTAGCTAATGCAGACTTGATGCCTTGCAAAAGTTATCTTTTGCAAGGCATTAAGTTTTTAAACCTACTGCTTTATTGCCAGAAAGGGTAAAATATAATTTTATTATTTGTCATAATTAATTACTTTACCAGGAAAGTCCCACTGAGCTACGTAGCTCTTTGTCAGAAGCGACCTGGCTATCACAAATGATAGCTCAACGAAGTGGCTCATCATCACCATCACGTGGAAACAAATAGCAGCCAAATACTCGAAATGTGTGCCATTGATTCGGAACGTGGAGGGAAAAACCAGAGGACCTGGAGACAAATCCGCGTGACCAAGGGGAGAGAGAGACACACAAACTCCAAATATACAGCAGGAGTCAGGGTCGGGATCGAACCCACGACCTCCTGTACACCAGGCGAGGGAGTTAACATCTCATAACCACAGTGAAGGGGATTCGGGGGGCGAGATGAGATACGGACTGGGACTCGTGTGCTGTGGATGACGTTGATGGTGGTAGTGATGGTGATGGTGGTAGTGATGGTGGTGGTGGCAGTGATGTTGATGGCGGTGATGAAGGTGGTGATGAAGGTGGTGGTAAAGGTGGTGGTGGCGGTGATGGAGGTGGTGATGATGGCGAAGTTGTTGGTGATGGAGGTGGTGGTGATGGTGGAGGTGGTGGTGATGGTTAAGGTGATGGTGATGGTGGTGGTGATGGTGAAGGTGATGGTGATAGTGATGGTGGTGGTGAAGGTGGTGATGGTGAATGTGGTGGTGGCGGTGATGGAGGTGGTGGTGATGGTGGCGGTGATGATGGTAGTGCTGATGGTGAAGGTGGTGATGGTGAAGGTGGTGATGGTGGAATCGCTCTGGGTGGAGGCACGCACCATCTTGGAGTAGATGGACATCTCCCGGAAGGGGTTGAGCACCAGCAGGATGTCTCCGATGTACGTCTGGGAATGGCGCAAAGCAACATCGTCAAGCAGGCACGGGGTCATCACGGGGTCATCACGGGGGGGGTCATGGGGTCGTCACGTGGGAGGTCGTGGGGTCGTCACGTGGGAGGTCGTGGGGTCGTCACGTGGGAGGTCGTGGGGTCGTCACGTGAGAGGTCGTGGGGTCATCACGTGGGAGGTCGTCGGGTCGTCACGTGGGAGGTCACGGGGACGTCACAGGGGAGGTTGTGGGGTCGTCACGGGGGAGGTCGGCCTACTCGCTAACAGCACTTGCCCAAACAGTCTTTTAAGGATATACAGGAGATATTTGTCATTGTACGTGTGTGTGTGTGTGTGCAGGAGTGGGGAGCGATAGTGTAGCAGTTAGCACGCTGCGCTATGAACCTGGCGACCCGGGTTCGATTCCCGCTCACGGCCAACACCAGTGACGATTATCTGAACCGGTCCCGGGCCTCCCCTAGGTCGACTCAGCCTCAAATGAGTACCTGGTGCGGTGTGTAAACATTGCCACTAGGGAGACAAAGGCGGTCGGGCGTGGTGCTGGCCACCCACCCCCTCGTGTACCGTTCCGGCCTTCATAGGTGCTCGCTAACAGCACTTGCCCCTACAGTCTGTTAAGGCTATATGGGGGATCTTTGTGTGCGGGAGTGGTGGCGCAGTGGTTTGCGCACTCAGCTACCATCTCGGCAACCCGGGTGAGGTTTCTGCTCATTGGGAGCATCGGTGACAAATATCTGATCCGTTCCTGGGCCTCCCCTAGGTCGCCTGACTTAGCCTCTCACTGACACACATGTAGTAACATAGAATTGGTTACGTAGCAGCATAGCACTGGCTGCTGGCAGGGAAAGGGACCTGCAGCTTACAGCAGCCCTGACTGACAGCAGGGGACGTGATAGAGCAGAGAGGAATCTAGGGGAAAGGTCACGGAAGGGGCACATCGAGAAACCGCTAGTAGGTTCCAGAAGGGGGCGTGGCCAGGGGCAGAGCCAGGCCACGCTGACGGTATAAGAGGGGCCCAGGGAGGGGACCTCGGGGCTGTCGTTTGGAGTGGGATCCCCATCGTGCTGCTGCTGGAGTCTTCACTGTCGTCCCCGTCTTCACCATCTCGGCGTCACCAGTCAGGCAGTCTACCAGCTGTCCTGACTGGGGACCGTAGTTGCTAAGTGTTACTGTCAGGCCATGTTAATAAACAGAGTGCCTCCTACTCTTAGTGTCTCCGAGTCAGTCACTACACGCACACTAACACTCACCCGCTCACTTACACATTCACTCAATCTCCCACTCACACAATCACCCAGACACTCACACACTCTCTCCCCCGCTCTCCCTCTGGCTGCTGACTCACGTAGAGCTGCTGCCGCTGGAATCTCTTCTCCAGCTCGTAGAGGAGGCTCCTCTCCGTGAGCTCCTCCAGCGTCGCCACATCGTCGCTGGGGGACGGGGGCGTCAGACGCACCTACACACACACGCACATCACGCACGCGTCAGTGACACACGCGATACACACGCGTCACACACACACGTCACACATGCGTCGGTCACACACACGTCAATCATACACCGGTCACACGCGTCGGTCACAAACGCATTACACACGTGTCACACATGCGTCACACACGTGTCACACACGTGTCACAAACGCATTACACACGTGTCACACATGCGTCATACACACGTCGGTCACACATGCGCATCACACACATGTCAGTCACACACACACGTCGGTCAAACATACGTCACACACGTGTCACATACACGTCGGTCACACAGGCGTCGGTTACATGTGTCGGTTACATGTGTCGGTTACATGTGCCGGTCACACACGTGGCCCACACGTGTAAGTCACACGTGTTGTAAACATGTCACACGCATGTCACAAACGTGCATCACGCGATATATTGTTTGCCCCCCCCCCTGCCCCCCACTGGCTGCCCCCGAACTGAACTCGAGGGGGCAGCTGCACGAAGCCCCCCACCCCACTCCCACCCTCCAGGTTTGTGTCCCCGCAGCACGCGGGGCCTGCCGGGTTCCCCTCCCCCCACCCTCCATGCCCGTCACCGCTAAAGAGCACCCCCTCATTCCTGGCCCTGCTGCTGCTGCTGCTGCGGCATCAGATGATTGGCTATCGCAGCTTCATCTACAGCTGAGATGCCGAGTCACCCCCCCCCCCCACACAAAGTCGCTGGCTGGGCTGGGCTGACTTGGCTGGCTGGACGGGGTTGGCTGGACTGGGTTGGCTGGACTGGCTCGGCTGGGCTGGGTTGAGTTGGCTAGACTGGCTGGGCTGGCTGGGCAGGCTGGGCAGGCTGGCTTGGCTAGACTGTATTGGCTAAACTGGCTGGGCTGGGTTGGCTTGGCTTGGCTGGCTGGACTGGGTTGGCTGGACGGGGTTAGCTGGACTGGCTGGGCTGGCTGGGCTGCTGGCTGGGTTGGCTGGACTGGCTGGACTGGCTGGGCTGGCTGGGTTGGGCTGACATGGAGCAGGAATTATTGACATATGGCACTACCACTAGAACTGTATGGCAAGCTCCTTCGTGGCGATGAGAACTAAACTAAAACTATAAACTCAAAATAAACTTGATTTGAAGCTTTCGTGACTGCAGGAAGTACTCTTTGGTTCTTTCGGTAAAGTCACGTAGAAATAAAATACATTAAATAATAGAATACGACGTTTTAATTGCAACACAAGCAGTCATCAGGTAGAACTAAATTTGAGTTAGAGACAAAACACAGACATGGAGATACACAGACAGACACACAAGCAGAAAGAGACAACACAGAGACACACAACATGGACAGACACAACATAGACACAGAGAGAGCTGTGTGTCTATGTTGTGTCTATGTTGTATGTCTGTCTGTGCGTCTCCGTGTCTGTGTTTTGACTCTCTCAAATGTAGTTCCACAAGATGACGACTGCTTGTGTTGCAATCGAAACGCTGTATTCTATTATTTAATGTATTTTATTTCTACGTGACTTTACCGAAAGAACCAAAGAGTCAAAATAAACAATTTATATTTTACCAGTTAAGGTCCACTGAGCTATAGAGCTCAACGAAGTGGCTCATCATCATCATCACGTGGACAATTATAGCAGCCAAATACTCTAAACGCGTAACGTTGATTCTAAATATGGAGGAAAAACCGGGAGAGCTCGGAGACAAATCCACGAGACCACATGAAGAGAGAGAGAGACACGCAAACTCCAAATATACAGCAGGCGTCAGGGTCGGGATCGAACCCACGACTACCTGTACACCAGGCGAAGGAGTTAACATCTCGCTTGGGGAGCTCGCCTGTCTCAGGGTGAAGTTGCCATTGCAGGTGGCCGCCTCTCCGCCCTCTCCGGCCTCCTCCGGCACCGTCGCCGCCGTCACCACCGTCGCCGGCTCGGAGCGCCCTGGGCCCTCACCGAACATGGCCCGGCGCTCCCTCCAGGCATCACGCCGGCTCGGTGAGGGCCCCCACGGGTCCCTGCGAGGCACGGGAAGCACCGGTGAGGTGAGCACCGGCGCGGCACGCTCACTCAAATATTACAGGCGACCACATGCGGTGATTCAGGCAATAGATCTTCTTCAGGGTGAAGAGAAATAAGAGTGCAAGACATGGCCGGGGCCTGTAGCACAGCATGTTAACCACTATGCCACTGCTCCCCACAGACACACACATATACGGATACACACACAGATACACAAAAGACAAAGACCCCTCATATAGCCTGTAACAGACTGTAGGGGCAAGTGCTGTTAGCGAGCACCTATGAAGGCCAAAACGGTACACAAGGGGGTGGGTGGGTCAGCACCACGCCCGACCGCCTTTGTCTCCCTTTTGGCGATGTTTACACACCGCACCAGGTACTCATTTGAGGCTGAGTAGACCTTGGGGAGGCCCGGGACCGGTTCAGATAATCGTTACTGGTGTTGGCCGTAAGCGGGAATCAAACTCGGGTCGCCGGATTCAGACACAAAGATAAAAATTCAGACACACACACAGACACACAGACACACACACACACACAGACACACACAAAGACAAAGATCCCCCGTGTAGCCTTGACAGACTGTCGTGGCAAGTGCTGTTAGCAAGTAGCACCTATGATGGCAGGAACGGTACACGAGGGGGTCGGTGGCCAGCACCACGCCCCGCCGCCTTTGTCTCTCCAGTGGCGATGTTTACACACTGTACCGGGTACTCATTTGAGGCTGAGTCGACCTAGGGGAGGCCCACGACCAGGATCAAATACTCGTTAATGGTGTTGGCTGTGAGCAGAAATCGAACCCGGATCACCGGGTTCGTAGCGCAGCGCAATAACCGCTACACTACCGTACCCCACAAAGACAAAGACACACACTGACACACAAAGGACACACACTGACACGCACACAAAGGAACAGGGAAGAGGAGGAGGGGGGGAGGAGGAAGGGAGGGGGAGGAGGGGGGAGAAGTCGCTTGACCCTGGGCAACTCGGTGACTGCGTGGGACCGTGAGGGTAACGCTCTCACTCGCTCACCATTAAAAACCATGGCCGGGGGGACCCTTGGTTACACAGATGTGTGTGTGCATGTGTGCGTGTGTATGTGTGCATGTGCGTATGTATGTGTGCATGTGCGTGTGGTACTGGTATTGGTGTGTGGGGAGCGGTAGTGTAGTGGTTAGTGCGTTGCGCTATGAATTTGGCGACCCGAGTTCGATTCCCGCTCACGGCCAACATTAGTGACGATTATTTGGCCTCCTCTAGGTCGACTCAGCCTCAAATGAGTACCTGGTACAGTGTGTAAACATCGCTGCTGGAGAGACAAAGGCGGTCGGGCGTGGTATTGGCAACCCACCCCCTCGTGTACCGTGCCGGCCTTCATGGGTGCTCGCTAACAGCACTTCCCCCAACAATCTGTGAAGGCTATACGGGGGATCTTTGTCTTTGTTCGTGTGTCTGCTTGGTCGGATAATGGGCGCTACACGGCATGGTATGGGCTAGAGAAGAGATGGAGTTGATGCGGTACAGGACGATGTGGAGCTGAGTGGACTTGTCCATGACTGCTACGGGCGGTGTCAAGATCGGCCTCTATGGAGGGGATTCAATAACAGTGGAGGGCAGAGGAGCGACGCTCACAACAATGAGCAGAGCACCAGGCGATAAATCTCAGAAAGTTGGCACAGTAGGGGGAAATATTTTGCGCATCTGCCAGTGGTCTCAGTCAACCCCTGGCACCTGGATCTGTCCCATGACCTCCTGCCAGCGAGCCTTCGACACTTCACGTGGCCTCAAGGTGCACCTAACTTGGCACAAGTGACGTGGTGATGTCACCACCACTTAGTGGCATAATATGGCGACTGTTGTTGTTGCAGAGCGAGCAGCGGTGACCGATGCGTGAGCGAGTGGGCGGTTGGGTGCACGGTTAAGTCAGTGGGTGGTTGTGCAGGTGAGTGGTTGGGTGGTTGGGGCAGGTAGTTGGCCGAGTTGGTGGGTGGTTGAGTGGGTGGTTCGGTGAGCGAGTGGGTGGGTGGATGGTCGAGTGAGTAGGTGGCTGCGCCAGGTGACTGGGTGGGTGGTTGCGCAGGAGGCTGGCCGGATGTGTTGTTGTAACCAGCAGTGGTGGTAGAACACGGCACGGACGAGACTAAATGGCAGTTGTGGTTGCGCTTGACCACGGTTGCGGTTGTTGGCGTGGTCGCGGTCGTCCGGTCCGTGGCCGTGATGGCTCTTACCGGCGCTTCGCCGGCACAAAGTCGTCGTGTAGGATCTCTTCGTACGCCCCCTCCTGCTCCCCCCCCTCCTGCTCCTCCTCCCCCACCCCCGTGCCGCCCACCGCGGCTCCCCGCGGCCGCCCCCCCCTCTCCCGCCACTCCTCCTGGCCCTGCACCAGCATCTCACGGACGAAGTCCGACGATGCCACCTCTTGAAAGCGACGCGGCGAACAAACAAACGAACAAACAAACAACAACAACAACGGCCGTCAACCATCGTCAACCGCTATTGGCAGATTGCTTGCCATGTGCCGAGGGCTCCGAGACGCCCCGCGGTGAGGGAGGGCGGCTCCATTGACTCATTGACCCCTGGATTCACTAACTTCTGACTCACTGACCCCCGGACCCACTGACCCCTGACTCACTGCCCCTGGACCCATTGATCCATAGACGCACTGACCCCTGACTCACTGCCCCTGGACCCACTGATCCATAGACCCACTGACCCCTGACTCACTGCCCCTGGACCCACTGACCCCTGACTCAAGGACCCCTGGACCCACTGATCCTGGATCCTGGACCCACTGATCCTGGATCCACGGACCCCTGAACCCACCGACCACTGGACGCAATGAACCCTGACTCACTGACCGGATGGCTGATTTTGGTTGCAGTTGAGAGCTGTGGGGTCGGCTCCGTGCCTCAGCAGCAACCGCACCACCCTGGCCTACACAGATACACACACACACACAGATACACACACACACACACAGATACACACAGATACACAGATACACACACACACACAGATACACAGATACACACACACACAGATACAGATACACACACAGATACACACACACACACAGATACACACACAGATACACACACACACAGATGCTCACACACACAGACGCACACAAATACACAGATACACACACACACAGACACACACTGACGCACACAGATACACACAGAGATACACACAGAGATACACACAGAGATACACACACACATACAGATACACACACAGATACACACAGAGATACACACATACATACAGATACACACACAGATACACACAGATACACACAGAGATACACACAGAGATACACACACATACAGATACACACACAGATACACACATATACGGATACACACACAGATACACAAAAGACAAAGACCCCTCATATAGCCTGTAACAGACTGTAGGGGCAAGTGCTGTTAGCGAGCACCTATGAAGGCCGGCACGGCACACGAGGGGTTAGGTGGCCAACACCACGCCCGGCCGCCTTTGTCTCCTTTTGGCGATGTTAACACATCGCACCAGGTACTCATTTGAGGCTGAGTAAACCTAGGGGAGGCGCAGGACCAGTTCAGATAATCGTCACTGGTGTTGGCCGTGAGCGGGAATCGAACCCGGGATGCCAGGTTCGTAGCACAGCGTGTTAACCGCTACACACACACTAATACACACACACGCAGATACACAACAACAACCGCCATTTGCCACTAAGTGGCGATGATGTCATCACGACGCTTGTGCCAGGCTATGTGCACGTTGAGGCCACGTGAAATGTCGAACGCCCGCTGGCAGTAGGTCACGGGGCAGACCCATGTGCCACGGGTCGACTGACTAAGATGACTGAGATGACTGGCTGATGCACCACCTGTGCCCCCTACTGTGCCACCTTGCTGTGGTTTAGCCACCCGGCGCTCCGCTCGTTATTGTGAGCGTCGCTCCTCCACCCTCCGTTGTTGTTGGAGGGCGACTGCCTCCAACTGCCCAGTAGCACCCTTCACGAGCCTCCTCCACAGAGGCCAATCTTGACACCGCTGGTATCAGTCATCGGCAAGTCCACTCAGCTCCACGTCCTCCTGTACCACATCACTCCATCTCTTCTCTAGCCCGTGCCGCCCACGTTTAGCCCCTTCGATCCAGCCGAACAAAAGCTGTTTCGGCATGCGGTGACTAGGCATGCGGGCTACATGACCCAGCCAACGCAGCCTTGCCCGCCGGAGGAGCTCACCAATGGGACCTTGACCAGATCATTCAAAGATTTGTGAGCTCCTCACCCAATCCAGCCTGGTTAAACCCAGGATGGATCGTAGGCAGGCTAGCCTAAATGTTTCTAACCGGCGAAGATGTTCCATTAGGGGGGTCCACGTTTCGCAAGCGTAGAGAAGGGAGGGAATGACAGTGGCCGAGAAGACCTGAAGCTTAGTGCGGAGCGACAGACCAGGTAGCTTCCACACAGCGTTACGCAACCGATGAAAAGATATTGCCACTCGACTCATTCGGAGTGAGACCTCTGCTGTTAAACTGGAGCCAGTCATAAGCACACTGCCCAGGTATGGAAAGCTCTCCACTCTCTCCACAACTGCCCCATCACCGATTGGGAGTTGTGGGGGTGGAGTGTCCGATGGTACAAAATACCCAGGCAGGTGCTTAGTTTTGATGGGGCTGATGGTAAGGCCCATCTCTTAGTGGCATGCTCCAGTCTCAGCAGCAGCGTCTCCAACTCCTCCTCTGAATGAGCAGCTATTACCAAATCATCGGCATACATAACGTGGCTGAGCAATAGGGAGCAGCTATTACACATAGAGACACACACACACACAGAGATACACACACAGATAGAGATACACACACACATACATACACACACATAGAGATACACACATAGAGGTACACACACACATAGAGATACACAAACATAGAGACACACGCACACATGGACATACACACACACATACATAGAGGTACACAAACATAGAGATACACACACACACACAGAGGGACATGGAGACAGATAGACAGAGAGACAGAGACACAGAGAGACAGTGACACAGAAAGACAGGGAGACATGGAGACAGAGAGACAGAGACAGGGACACAGAGGGACAGACAGGCAGGGAGACAGGAAGACAGGGGGACAGAGAGAGGAAGCCAGGGAAACAGTGAGCCAGGAAGCCAGGAAGACAGACAGACAGAGAGCCAGGGGGTGTGACCTCTCACCTGTCCGTATTTGGCTGCTAGGTGCAGGGGCCCCCAGGCGGTGCTGTCCGGGCGGTCCGGGTCGGCGCCGGCCTCCAGCAGCAGCCGCACCGCCGGCACACAGCCAAACACACAGGCGGTGTGCAGCTGTGGGTGTGGGTGGGGTGGTGTGGGTGGGTGGATGGATGTGGGTAGGCGAGCGCGTGAGTGAGTGTGTGCGTGGTTGTGTGGGTGAGTATGTATGTGGGTGCGTGGGTAAATGTGTGCGTGATTGTGTGGGTGAGTGGGTAAATGTGTGCGTGATTGTGTGGGTGAGCGTTTGTGTGGGTGAGTGTGTGCGTGGTTGTGTGGGTGTGTGGATGAGTGGGTGTGTGGATGAGTGGGTGTGTGGATAAGAGTGTGTGCGGTTGTGTGTTTGAGTGCATGCGTGGTTGTGCGGGTGAGTGTGTGCGTGGTTGTGTGGGCAAGCGGGTGTGTGGGCGAATGGATGTGTGGGCGAATGGGTGTGTGGGTGTGTGGGTGAGTGGGTGTGTGGGTGAGTTGGTGTGTGGGTGAATGGGTGTGTGGGTGAGTGGGTGTGTGGGTGAGTGGGTGTGTGGGTGAGTGGGTGTGTGGGTGAGCGGGTGAGTGAACACCATCAGACAGCAACCGACACAAAATCACCACAACCTCCACCACCACCACTCCCACCACGCACCATCACCACCACCCCTCCACCTCCTCGACAACACTTTCCCCAGGAGCACACACGTGGGCTACCCGGGGCACCTTTGTCCACGCATGCGCTCACCGCGGTGACCCCGCGCTCGTCCTGCTGGTCCACGCTGCGTGCGCCCTCCGACACGAGGAGCCGCGCGCCCGCCAGGGTGGCGGCGTCACGGCGCCCACGAGCCTCCTCCAGCGCCAACTCCGCCAGCCCTGAGAGGGGGGGGCAAGGGGACGGAGGGGGCGGAGGGGGAGGGCGGGAGAGGGGTGGGGGTAGGCGTGGGGGTGCACCACCATTCTGTGTTCAAATAAATGGCAACCACCATCCCAGCACCACCGCCTCCTCACCCCTCACCCCCCTCCCCTGACACCGCACATTCAGATTCTCATCACGGCCACGGCTCACGGGAGCCGAGCCCTCACCGTTCGCCCAGGCGGGGGGTGGGGGCTTGGGGGGCAGGGTGGGGGCAGAGGGGGAGGCTGGGGGGGGTGGCAGCGGGGGGGTCAGGCCGGGTGCTGTCTCCGCTCGCCTCCCACACCTCTCTCACCTCGACAACGCCCCGCGTGCCCACCCCACACCCCCACCCCACGTGCCCACCCCACACCCCCACCCCACGTGCCCACCCCACCCCCTCACCCCACACCCTAACCCCCACCCCACCCCACACCCCCACCCCCACCCCACCCCACCCCACAACCCCACATCATCACCCCACATCACCACCCCGCATCCCCACGCCCCAACAATGCCCAGCGGCCAGCGACAAACAGCACTCTGGTCCAGGTTGCAATGGGATGGGGGAGTTGTGTGGGTCTCCGTCGCTCGTCGCTGTCACAGCGATAAGGAGGGCGACGACGGTAGGAAGAGAGAAGAGGGAATACCACGGTGGGAGTGGTGTGAGTGAAGAAGCAGAAAGGTAAGTGTGGGGTGAGTGTGTGGGTGAGTGGGTGAGTGGGTGAGGGTGTTGGTGAATGGTTGAGTGTGTGGGTGAGTGGATGAAGGTGTTGGTGAGTGGGTGAGGGTGTGGGCGAGTGTGTGGGTGAGTGTATGGGTGTGTGGGTGAGTGTATGAGTGAGTGAGTGTGTGGGTGAGTGTGTGAGTGAGTGGGTGAGCGAGTGGGTGGGTGAGTGTGTAAGAGAGTGTTTGGGAGAGTGGGTGAGTGAGTGGGAGGGTGTGGGAAGGTGGAGCGAGGCGGTGGAGGGGAGGGGCACCCCCACCACTGTGGCTCTGCCACGCTCGCACGATGGCGTCGCTCTCGGAGCCACGTGGAGTGTGGTCACACGCCAGTCGCCCGTCGCAGTCGGTGGCCAGGAGGTCCGCCCCGGCCTGCACACCACCAGCAGCACCAGCAGCAGCCCGAGAATCAGCAGTAGCATCATGAGCATCATCATCAGCTACAGTATCAGCATCTTCATCCTTGTGGTTGTTCTGGTGATCATCATCGTCACCATCATCGCCACCATCATCATCGCCACCATGATCGTCGTCGTCATCATCATCGTCATCAACTATTGTCATCATCTCCAGTTTCATCGTCAACTTCATTGTCATCATCATCATCATCACTATTACGACTGTAACCACCATTACCAAAGCCAGTTAGCATCAGTGACCGTTGCGGTCATCATCGTGGTCAAGGGATCGTGGTCAAGGGGTCAGGGTCATGGGATCATGGTCAAGGGGTTGTGGCCAAGGGGTCAGGGTCAAGGAGTCGTGGTCAAGAGGTCGTGGTCATGGGGTCGTGGTCATGGGGTCATAGTCAAGGGGTCAGGGTCATGGGATCATGGTCAAGGGGTTGTGGTCAAGGAGTCGTGGTCAAGAGGTCGTGGTCACGGGGTCGTGGTCATGGGGTCGTGGTCAAGGGGTCATCGTCATGGTCAAGAGGTCATCGCCATGGCCAAGGGGGTCAGGGTCACCGCCATGGTCCCGCCGTCGGTTCGTACGTGCAGGAGGAGGCCGACGAGGTGGGGCTGGTCCCCGGCGCCAGCCGCGTGAAGCGGCGTCCACGCATCGCCGTCACGCTCCTCCACGCGCGCCCCCCTCCCCAGCAGCGCCAGCGCCGCCACCTCGTTCCCGTGGCGCGCTGCCTGCGCACCACGGAGACCGAGATCCCCACGCCGTGCAGCTAACCAGACTGCGGTGGCGAGCGCCGTGAGCAGCGGGTAGCAGAGCCTGTGAAGGCCGGGACTGTGCAATGCGAAGTGGTGGCCGGCGCCACGCCTGGCCGCCTTTGTCTCCCGAGCGGTCAAAACGACAACGACGACCACCATTCGCCACTAAGTGTCGGTGACATAACCACGACGCCGGTGCCAGGATAGGTGCGCTATGAGGCCACGTGGAGGGTGGAATGCGCGCTGGTAGGAGGTCATGGGACAGACCGAGGTGCCATGGGCTGACCGACTGAGATGACCGGCAGCCTCTGTGCTGATAAATCTCACGCTGTCACACACACACCTACACATACAACAGACAAAGATCCCTGCCGTGTAGCCTTTAACAGACTGTTGGGGCAAGTGCTGTTAGCAAGCGGTGCCTATGGAGGCTGGCACGGTGACACACGAAGTGGGTGGGAGGCCAGAACCACGCCCTTAGTCTCCCCAGTGGCGATGTTTACACACCGCAACAGGTACTCGTTTGAAGCTGAATCGACCTAGGTGAGGCCCGGGACCGGTTAAGATAATTGTCACCGGCTTTGGCCATGAGCGGGAATCGAACTCGGATGGCTGGATTTGTAGCGCTGTTACACTGCCACTCCCCGGCACCACCGATACCAGCAGCGTCACCTCTGTGTTGTTAATTCCACTTAGTAGGAAAGCTGCTGCTGTGGCTGCCTGCTGCTGTTGTTGTCGGAACTCAATGAACCCTTGCCTTTACGGGGCATCTGTGAAGAAGAGCTTCATAGATCATCGGATTCCTCCTCCTGTAGTCTAAATAAAGACCCTGGCTCTGATACCTGGTGCAGGAAAGAGTCTCCCACAGGACTCGTCTCGTTCGGGTCCAGCCCTTGGTCCAGCAGAGCGAACACTGAAACACAGAGACAAGCATCTTCATAATCATCAGCAGCATCGCCATCATCAGCAGCAGCATCGCATTCATCATCAGCAGCATCGCATTCATCATCAGCAGCATCGCATTCATCATCAGCAGCATCGCATTCATCATCAGCAGCATCGCATTCGTCATCAGCAGCATCGCATTCGTCATCAGCAGCATCGCATTCATCATCAGCAGCATCGCATTCATCATCAGCAGCATCGCATTCATCATCAGCAGCATCGCCATCATCAGCAGCATCGCATTCATCATCAGCAGCATTGCATTCATCATCAGCAGCATCGCATTCATCATCAGCAGCATCAAATTCACCATCAGCAGCAACGCATTCATCATCAGCAGCATCGCATTCATTACCAGCAGCATCGCATTCATCATCAGCAGCATCGCCATCATCAGCAGCAGCATCGCATTCATCATCAGCAGCATCGCATTCATCATCAGCAGCATCGCATTCATCATCAGCAGCATCGCATTCATCATCAGCAGCATCGCATTCATCATCAGCAGCATCGCATTCATCATCAGCAGCATCAAATTCACCATCAGCAGCAACGCATTCATCATCAGCAGCATCGCATTCATTACCAGCAGCATCGCATTCATTACCAGCAGCATCGCCATCATCAGCAGCAGCATCGCAATCATCATCAGCAGCATCACATTCATCATCGTCAGCATCGCATTCATCATCAGCAGCATCGCATTCATCATCAGTACCATCGCATTCATCATCAGCAGCATCGCATTCATCATTAGCAGCATCGCATTCATCATCAGCAGCATCGCATTCATTATCAGCAGCATCGCATTCATCATCAGCAGCATCAAATTCACCATCAGCAGCAACGCATTCATCATCAGCAGCATCGCATTCATTACCAGCAGCATCGCATTCATTACCAGCAGCATCGCATTCATTACCAGCAGCATCGCATTCATTACCAGCAGCATCGCCATCATCATCAGCAGCATCGCAATCATCATCAGCAGCATCACATTCATCATCGTCAGCATCGCATTCATCATCAGCAGCATCGCATTCATCATCAGTAGCATCGCATTCATCATTAGCAGCATCGCATTCATCATCAGCAGCATCGCATTCATTATCAGCAGCATCGCATTCATCATCAGCAGCATCGCATTCATTATCAGCAGCAGCAAAAACACTGCCATCACAAAGATCGTTCTGATAATAATGTATTCCATCATTATAATGACCATTACACTCATCATCATCACCACCGTTACCATCATCACCTCCACCATCACCACCTCCACCATCACCATGATCATCACCACCATTACCATTATTCCCAACATTACCATCATCATCACCATCATCACCACAATCTGACTGGACACTGCCCAGACACAATACTGCCCATAGACTCAACACTGCTACTTATATACTCAACACCGCCCAGACTCAGCACTGCCCACAGACTCAATACTGCCGATAGACTCAGCATGGCACCATAGACTCAACACTGCCCATGAACCCAACACTGCCCATAGACTCAGCAACTGCTCACTCAGCACTAACCATAGACACAACACTACCTATAGACTCAACACTGCCCATTAACTCAACACTGCCCATTGACTCAGCACTGCTCAGACTCAGCACTGCCCAGACTCAGCACTGCCCACAGACTCAACACTGCCCAGAATCAACACTGCCCACAGACTCAGCACTGCACCATAGACTCGACACTGCTCACAGACTCAATACTGTGTTAAGATAACAAAAGGGATTCCACATGTTTCCATCCTCGGCCCCCTCTCGTTCTCTCTTTATGTCAATGACTTGGGCACCGACCTGGATAATTCCAGAGTAAATCTGTTTGCAGATGACACGGTACTGATTACTGCTGGCCGCTCTCCAGATGACGTGATTGCTAAGCTCCAGGGCGATTTCAACAAACTACAACATCAGCTAGTTGCTCTTAAACTCGTCCTGAATACCTCCAAAACCAAGGTGCTATGCTTCTCACCAGGGCTAAAGCAGGAAGTTATTTTCCCCCAATTATATTCCTTAAATAATCATCAAATAGAGCAAGTCAAGTTCTATACGTGTCTTAGGGTCATCTTTGATTCAAAACTGAATTTTCAAGATCACATTGATTATCTTGGTAAAAAGACAAAATTTAAATTTCGATTTAAAGCTTTCGTGACTGCAAGGATTCATCTTCTTTGGTTCTTTCGGTAAAGTCACGTAGAATGAGAATAAAATAATAAAATAACACAATAAAATTCTCACGACGTTTCGGCCACTTGCGTTGTGGCCGAAACGTCGTGAGAATTTTATTGTGTTATTTTATTATTTTATTCTCATTATACGTGACTTTACCGAAAGAACCAAAGAAGACAAAATTTAAAAATGGTTTTCTGTATCGACACAAGCACTGCTTCCCCCCTATGTTCCACTTGTAATTGATAAAAGCTACCGTACAGCCTCTACTTGATTACTGTGACATCTTCTTAGCTCTTTCGGTAAAGTCACGTTGAAGGGAACAATAAAATAATAAAATATATATAAAACAATAAAAATTCTCACGACGTTTCGACCATAACACAAACGGTCGTCATCAGGTGTGTCGGTTTGCAAACCGACACACCGGCACACCTGATGACAACCGTTTGTGTTATGGTCGAAACGTCGTGAGAATTTTTATTGTTTTATATATGTTTTATATATATTTATTATGAATATATTTTATTGTTTTCCTTCAACGTGACTTTACCGAAAGAGCTAAGAATATGAATTACTGCAGTCACGAAAGCTTTAAATCAAAATTTACTGTGACATCGTATATAAATCAGCCCCCAGTACTATACTGAAGAAACTTGACTCAATTTATCACTCGGCCTTAAGATTTGCATTGAACTGCCCATATAGAACCCACCACTGCGATCTCTACATTGGGTCAAACTTAACTTATCTTAATGGTCGACGGCTTGTGTATCAGGTCTTATTTATTCACGATGTACTTACAAAAAAATCAGCAGACTACCTGCTGGATCTCCTCACTGTTTCGAAGAACAAATATGACCTAAGGTCGTCGCTCATTTACCAGCTTCACATTCCTTATTGCTGTACAAATACTGGAGGAAGGGCCTTTTCTATTGATGCCCCCAGGGTCTGGAATGCTATCGCCAATAAACTGCAACTTGGATCACCACTTGTGAGATCTTACCTCAAAACTGCTTTAGAGGAGTTGTACACCCTAACTGCCACTGCTATTCAGAATGGCCTGAAATGAAATGTATTGTTCTGGATGATTGCTGCAAAGTATAATCTTGAGTTTTGATTATAGTGTGCCGATCTTTAAAGGTGTATTGAAAAATATTGATTCTGCTACTGATACTCCTGCTGTCATGGAGTAACTTATGCAGCCAGCTATGGCTGCAAAGTTTGGTCGTACATGTTATTTATATCGTTTATTGTGACATTTTTATCACAGTTACTATGATTACTGTTACATTGTTTTTATAGCTTTATTTTGGTGATTTTGAAAACGTTTTGGTTTAGCCATGTTTGTTTGTTGTAGTACAGAGTTAGCCTGATAACTTGAATCTAAATTGTCTTATGGTTGTTATTGTTTGACTTGCATCCCACTGGGGTTTTTGCACACAGCGTTGAAATACGGTGTTTATTTCTGGAATTTTCGGTTGCGTGTAGTCACTTTAAGATGTTTCTTGTTCATGTTTTTGGCTCAGGGTTATATCCAATAAATGAAACTGAAATATACGAAGCACTGCACCATAGACTCAACACTGCCCATTAACTAAACACTGCCCACAGACTCAACACTGCCGATAGTCAGCACTGCCCACAGACTCAGCACTGCTCACAGACTCAAGACTGCCCAGAAACTCAACACTGCCCACAGACTCAACACTGCCGATAAGTCAGCACTGCCCACAGACTCAGCACTGCCTACAGACTCAAGACTGCCCACAGACTCAAAACTACCCATAGACTCAGCATCGGACCGTAGACTCAATACTGCCCATGGACTCAATACTGCCCCATAAACTCAGCACTGCCCATAGACTCAACACTGCCCACAGACTCAAAACTGCCCACAGACTCAACACTGCCCACAGACTCAAAACTACCCACATACTCAATACTACTCACAGACTCAATACTGCCGAAAGACTCAGCATGGCACCATATACTCAACACTGCCCACAGATTCAACACTGCCCACAGATTCAACACTGCCCACAGATTCAACACTGCCTACACACTCAATACTGCCCATACACTCAGCATGGCACCATAGACTCAACACTGCCTGTATACTAAACACTGCCTACAAACTCAACACTGCCCATATACTCAACACTGCCCACAGACTCAATACTACCCACAGACTCAACACTGCCCACAAACTCAATACTACCCACAAACTCAATACAACCCACATACTCAATACTACCCACAGACTCAATACTGCCCATACACTCAGCATGGCACCACAGACTCAACACTGCCCACAGACTCAACACTGCCCATAGTCTCAGTACTGCCCAGACTCAACACTATCCACAGACTCAATACTGCCCATACACTCAGCATGGCACCACAGACTCAACACTGCCCACAGACTCAACACTGCCCATAGTCTCAGCACTGCCCACAGACTCAACACTGTCCAGAGACTCAACACCGCCCGCAGCCTCAACACCGCGCACAGACTCAACACTGCCCACAGACTCAACACTGCCCACACACTCAATACTACCCTCAGACTCAACACTGCCCACAAACTCAATACTACCCACAAACTCAATACAACCCACATACTCAATACTACCCACAGACTCAATACTGCCCATACACTCAGCATGGCACCACAGACTCAACACTGCCCACAGACTCAACACTGCCCATAGTCTCAGTACTGCCCAGACTCAACACTATCCACAGACTCAATACTGCCCATACACTCAGC